CTGTTTGTCCTCCGTCTGTTGGGGGTGAGTGTGCCCTTGGCACGGACGTCCTCGAGGACAGGCAGGAGGAGTTCCAGTGCTTGGCAGCCGCTTCACCGCATCTCTTGTCCGTAGTGCTTACTCCTGAGGGAGACCCGGATGCACTAGACATCCCGACTCCGCGCTCTTACGCGGAGGCGATAGAGGGTCCCTACTCCTCTCAGTGGCAGGCAGCTATGGATGCAAAGATGGCTTCCTGGAAGTCCACAGGCACCTACGTTGACGCTGTCCCCCCTCCTGGGGCAAACATCGTCAGTGGCATGTGGATCTTCAGGGTGAAGCGGCCGCCGGGTTCTCCGCCTGTCTTCAAGGCGCGTTACGTGGCTCGTGGCTTCAGTCAGCGGCAGGGGGTTGACTACTTTCAGACCTTCTCCCCCACCCAGAAGATGACCACTCTTCGAGTACTGCTGCACGTTGCTGCTCACCGTGACTACGAGCTGCACTCTCTCAACTTCAACACAGCTTTCTTGCAGGGCAGCCTGCACGAGGAGATCTGGCTGCGCCGCCCACCTGGCTTCACTGGGTCTTTCCCTCCTGGTACCCAGTGGAGTCTCCGGCGTCCAGTCTACGGTCTCCGCCAGGCGCCCCGTGAGTGGCACGACACACTGAGGACTACGCTTGCGGCTCTTGGGTTTGCTCCTTCTACTGCTGACCCGTCGCTGTTTCTGCGCACTGACACCTCTCTGCCGCCGTTCTACATCCTCGTGTACGTCGACGACTTGGTCTTGGCCACAGCTGACACTGCTGGACTCGCCTACGTGAAGTCCGAGCTGCAGAAGAGACACACGTGCACTGACCTGGGTGAACTGCGCAGCTACCTTGGCTTGCATATCACCCGGGACAGAGCACGCCGCACCATTACCCTGACTCAGTCACGCATGGTGCAGCAGGTCCTTCAGCGCTTCGGCTTCACGTACTCCTCGCCTCAGGCCACTCCTCTGCCTACTCGCCACTCGCTCTCAGCTCTGCCTTCGGATGAGTCCGTAAAGTCGAGTGGCCCGTATCCAGAGCTTGTTGGCTGCCTCATGTACCTGATGACCTGCACTCGAACTGACCTTGCATACCCTCTTAGCATTCTCGCACGCTATGTTGCTCCTGGGAGACACCGACCAGAGCACATGGCTGCAGCGAAGAGGGTGTTGCGCTACTTGTGCAGTACGTCAGGCATGGGGCTAGTTCTTGGAGGGCGGAGTCCAGTGGTCCTCACTGGGCACGCGGACGCTTCTTGGGCTGACGACCAGGCTACGCAGCGGTCGTCACAGGGTTACACTTTCAGTCTTGGTTCCGGCTTTGTTTCGTGGCGGGCTACCCGCTCGTCTTCTGTTCTCGGCTCCAGTTGTGAGGCTGAGATCTACGCCGGGGCTATGGCTGCCCAGGAGCTTCGCTGGCTCACCTACCTGCTGACCGACCTTGGAGAGCCGCCTCGTTCTCCTCCAGTCCTGTACGTAGACAACAAGGCTATGCTGGCCTTGTGTCGAGAGCAGCGACTGGAGCACAGGACAAAGCACATTGCTCTCCGCTACTTTCTTGCTCGTGAGCTACAGCAGCGTGGACAGTTGCGGCTTGCGTACGTGGCCTCTGAGGCCAACACTGCTGATGTCTTCACCAAGGCACTTGCGCCTTGTGATCATCAGCGCTTCTGCACTCAGTTGGGTCTTGTGCCTGTCTTGCCTCACTTGCTCACTTCTTGACCTTGCTTGTACTGTCACATATATATACTCTTGCTCTTGCTTGCTTAGCCTCTTGTATATCTATATATGTGATCTTGCATGTGAACTGGCCTTTTGGCCTTTGAACTTGTGCTCGGAATGTGTGGTGACTTTGTGATCCACCCTGAGCTTTGTCTTGCTTTGCTTGACTGGTCTTGTGACCCCTTGTTCTCCCCCACTTTGCCTATGGGGGTGTGTCAGAACATTATAGCTTACTTATTTGTGTAGGCTATAGTGGGGTATCCCATAGGGGGTACAACCCAATTAGGGTTTCCTATATGTACTCACTTCATTCATAGTCATTCCATTTTCTCGTTCTCATTCTCACACATGCGTGGGCGCTTTGCGCTAGGCGTTGGCATCAGTCGCTCAACAACATCGGTGAACGTGATGGCGGTGTCGAAAGTCGGCAGCCTGGCCACAGCTGCAAAATTAGGAGAGTGTGGACCATCACCGACAAAGCGTAAGTCATGTGCTCTATACTGGAAAGGTGGAGTTTTCCATGCCTTACGAGCAACTCACCTCGAGCCAATGCATCCACACGAGCCCGGGCTCTGATCGGTAATCCCATGATGGCTGCCTCCCTCGCATCGTTGGTTCCTGCGGACAAGAGATAGGGGGTGAGATATCACACGATACCTAGAAAACCAAATGGGGTAACTGTGCCTCACCTTCCGTGGCTTGGCGGAGAGTAGAGGGAATGGGCAGCAGCCACTCTACCACATCGATGAACGAGATAGCCGTTTCGAAGTTTGGTAGTCTGGTGGCAGCTGCACAAGGGGATGGGTGGGATGTGCGAATTAGCATGGCATCTTATAAGAAGCCCATTCTATGGCATCCATGACGAATGACACACACGTGAAACGGACTCACCCCGCACGGCACGAGGCACATTTGGCAATGCAGCTGCAAGCAGAGGCACGCTAGCCGCCTGGTGTGTACCTCCAGTTCCTGTAATGATGAACAGGGTGTCGGAACCTCACCGCCTCCTTGCTGCTCTCTCAGTCTGGCTCTTGTCCTTGCTGGTCTCTCCTTTCCTTACCTCCCAGGACTGCACTTGCCACCCCCTTTTGTGCTGCTGCTGCTCTCACGGGCCCCTATCCTCCATTGTGTCTCGTGATACTCTCACTCTGCAAATAAGCCCTCCACTCCTTCACATAACGCACTATTCTAACTGCTATTTACATCTTAGCTTGCTATGTCTCCTTCTCCTCACTACTTGCTTGACTTGGTGCAAGAATATCGTGTTACAAAGGAAACATACAAGCATTAAGGCTAGCTCTGTCAGGTTCCGCCTATTCTACCAGCTCCGCCTCCACCGTGCCTACTCCACCTCCACCCATCTCCTCTCTAGCTGCTAAGAATGCCTTCAAGAAGACCCACATCCTTGTTGCCTGCCACCTGTGTTACCCGCCGCTAGCTACTTCGCCTCCAGCTGACACTTCCAGATCCAGCTGGCTCCTGAGAGCTTGCCTGCACACACGAGGAAACAAACAAGCATGCATGCTTACACCCATCCAAGTGCCGGTGCTGAACCCCTGCCTCCGCTGCCTCTGCCGTGCACTGTAATTCCGCCCTGTACTCTCCCTCCTCTTACGTAAGTGCCACCCCTTACCACTCCCATGCATTCCCCGACCCTTCGCTTCGGCAGACATTACTTCCTTCACACCCAGTTGCCTCCCTGCACACCTCAAACCCCCACCTTGACCCTTCGCATCCCATCCTTGGCACTGCACAGCTCGCTATGTACAGTATATACAATTTATACACCTCCCAATCTCTCCTCACTATCCCGCTCACATTCACACAAATGTGACAGCTGTCGGAACCTCACCGCCTCCCTGCTGCTCTCTCTGTCTGGCTCCTGTCCTTGCTGGTCTCTCCTTTCCTTACCTCCCAGGACTGCACTTGCCACCCCCTTTTGTGCTGTTGCTGCTCTCACGGGCCCTTATCCTCCATTGTGTCTCATGATACTCTCACTCTTGCCCCCTCCCATGACCAGCTGCCGCCGTCCTCGCCCTGTTCATGGGACCGGTGTACTGTTGCACTCCCTTCGCCTTCCCTGCCAAGTCCACATTGGTCACATGATCCATGACGCGCTTTCCAGTCTCTCCCTCCAGCACTAATACCCCTGAGTCTCGCACCTCCTTCACTGTCCACCTCTGCTGGGATACTCCCAGATCCAGTCCATCTCACTTCGCTCGCCTGACATACACTTCACATCCTTCCTCCACAGGCGGGTCTCGGCCTTGCATCTTCGCCAGCTGCCGCTGCTTGTAAGGGTGAATATCTCGCAGCTGAGCCACCTTCAAGCTCTCCATCGCCGCGGGCAGCATCTTCCTAAGGTAAGCCGCCCTTGCATCAGCCAGTGCCACCCATTTCTCCGCTGTCCCGGCTGACACACTGTCCATGAGCACCTTGGGAGCTCCCATAGGCAGGATCGGATGCTTCCCGGAAAGCAAGTAGTAGGGAGATACATCCTTAAGCGCTGCTTGCTTGCTGAACCTGTATCCTGCCATCACCCATGCCAGCTTCTTGTCCCAGTCCCCCTTATGTGCCTCCCCATACACGCGCAAGCCTCTCTTCACTGTCTGCACCAGCCGCTCTGTCAGTCCTTCGCCTGTGGGTGATACCTTGAGGTCGTGCGGTGCTGGATCCCATTAGACGCCAGCAGCTCCTTGAACTCTCCCTCGAATTCTGTCCCCTGGTCTGTGAGCACCTCTCCGCATGCCCCAAACCGTGTGATCACCATTTCCTCAAATGCCTCTGCCACAGCTGCCACGGTCTTGTTCACCAGAGGCCGCGCTTCCACCCATTTGCTCACATGTTCAATCATGAGCACGATGTATCTCACAATTTGTGTGAGGAGCAGCGGTGCAGCAGGCAGGGCAGCATGCGGGCATGGAGCAGGCATGGGGATGAGGTTGTGCCCCATATGGTGTTAGAATGAAGAAATGTTATGGAGCTTCGAAGCAGCTTCTGAGCGTTTGACCATGGAGCACAGAATGCAGAACGAAGCATGTATTCATGCGGATAGACAGTCTAAGTGTGATGGTGACTTGACTGGTCAGACACAGGCAGGAAACTGCGCACGTGCCACATAAAAGCATGCTGGCATCATGATGGCATGGGAGCACAGGCAAGCACACGCAGATGCACGTACCACACGTGCACACGCACATAGCCCACGCCCGTATCCATCGCACAGCGCTCACTCACAAAACACCCCCACACATAGCCCACACACATCCATCATCCGCGCACGCACAGGCTGAGGACTTGGCCCGAGAGGTCGCAGACGACGCCCGTCCAGCTGTCCACCGCGGGGGCGTTGCCCGCCAGCGTGCAGGGCGAGTCCACCGCCCAGCTGCTTGCACTCACGCCCAGCCCTGCCCTCAGTGCCAACAGCGCCAGCGTTGGGGGGGGCACGGGAGGGAAGTGGCGGGGGGAGCAGCGGGGAAGAGAAAGGGGGAGTACGGGAAACGAGAGAGGAGTCAGTAGGGAGAGTCAAAAGTGCATTGGCGGGAGCAGAAGGGGCGAGGGTGCAGGGTGAACACTGGGCTGGGTGCGGGAGGTCGGATGGATGACTGATGTGGGTGTGAGACAGAGTCAGGAACTCGACGTGAGCTCAATCAGTACAATTGTGGCACACAAGCGCAGCTGCTCATTAGAGTGCCAGTTCTTCCACTCAAACGTCACCTCTGATACAGACCCATGAAGACCAGACGAGATCCTCACACCCACACGCTACACGGTACATCAATATTTGAGTCTACATTTTCCCACTCACCAGAGTTTTCATCCACTGCAACGGCCTCGCAGAACATTGCTGGGAGGGTGGAGGTGAGGTTGTTCACAGTGCCAGCAGCAAGGAGAGCAGCGACATCGGGAGTGCAGGTGGTGCCGGCACAGAAAGGCGGGGTGCCCGTGGCTGAACCACAGAAGGCACAGCCGGAGTTGCGCTGAGCCACACCGGCATCGTTGGTGCAGGAGCCCGGCGAGGAGAGGCAGTTGCTGCGGATGTCGCACAGCTGGAACGACCGCGAGGGGAAGGCGCCCGCCAAGAGGTTGCTGGCGATGGCCAGCACTTGCAGCTGCAAGACCATGGCTGGCAGCGTGCCCGTCAGGTAGTTTGCTCCCACCCGGCTGTGATGAGGGGAGTTGGAGGAGGGGAGCGAAGTGAAACGGTGAAAGGGAGAACATTGAAGGAAATGAGTGGAATGAGAGCAATGGGCATGGGAATGGGCACAGGCACAAGAACAAGAATGGGCATTGGATCAGAAGCAGGGCATGGTCATCTGGCATAGGTGTGGGGCATGACATGGCATATACATAAAGCATGTGCATTAGTGTGGGTGGGCATGGGAATGGGTTTGGCAGAACTGACAGTTCTGTGAGTTTAGGCATGTTGACCAGAGCCGATGGAATGCTGTCGTACAGATAGTTGGAGTTGAGGTTCCTGGAAAGGGTCAGACACGTGGATGAAAGGCACACAAGGAGCACATAGGGATGCGGTAATTGATGGTCATGGGTGAACATTGTAGCCATAGCCCCATGGCAAGGAAAACATTGAGACAGACTGTGATGGGCCAGTTCGCTGCATGGAAGTAAACTCAAGGAGTTGCCATTCTGGTGGGACTTCTGAAAGTGAACTCACAGAGAGGCCATAGTGGTGAGGCTCGTGTGAACTCTTTAAAGGCAACTCACAGGGTGGCCAAGCTGGGGAGCGGCAGCATGTTGGAGACGAACTTGGAGAGCTGACCAAAGAAGAGATTGTAGGACAGATCGCTGCGAGTGCGGGTGGGAGAGGAGGATCATGGGAAGGAGGGAGCGGAAGGGCGAGATGCCCAATGTGAAGCGAAGAGCGGAACAAGGGTTGAATGAAAAAGGCTCAGCAGTGGACCCACCCAGGTGTGCACACTCCATGACGACCGTAACATGTATGTGAACGGGATAATGTGGTTGTTAGTACCCCAGGTTGCATGGGGTTGAGTTGAGTTTAAGGGTTGGGAGACGTACAGGTAGGAGAGGGCAGTGAGCTTGGAGATGTCGGCATGGATGATGCCCCTCAGTGCCTTGTTGGGCAACGTGCTGCCATGACGTTTGCAGGATGCAGGGGGGTAGCAGGAGGCATGGGGTTAAATGGATGGAGGCATGGATGATGCCCCTCGGTGCCTTGTTGGGCAACGTGCTGCCATGACGTTTGCAGGATGTAGGGGGGTAGCAGGAGGCATGGGGTTAAATGGATGGAGGCATGGGGAGGGCAGGGACATGCATACACAATGCAGGTCCAATCAAGTATGAGTTAGCAGGGGGGCCACGGGAGCCTCACATGTTGAGGACGGTGCCGTTGGCGCTGCACCACACGCCCGGAAACGACTTGGGGTTGGCGCCCTGCCCCTCAATGTTGCACTTGCTGCCGTTGCGCCAGTCGATGTCTCTGACCCCAAGAGCCGCCCCCACCTTCAACAGTGCCACCACTGCCGGTGGGAGTGCACGTGAGGACAGAGGAGGAGGAAAGGCTGAGTGGTGAGCCGTGGTGTAATGATGCTATGGGCTTCCAGCAAGGGAGGGTGGCAAACTGAAATATGTGGAATCGTGTGTGGTGGCATGGAGAGAAGGGGTCTACATATGGCATTGGAAAGAGAGGGGAGTCATGAGAGGTGGCTTTAAAAATCGTACCACACATGTCAAGGAAAGAGAGAGGGATTTGGAAATACATGGTCCCGTGTGGTAGGAAGGAAGAGAAGAGGAGGCTCACCAGAGGTGGCATCAAGGGGAACGGCAGCACATGTCATGGTGAGAGTGGCGGCATCAGCACTGTTGGGAACCTTAGCAAGGGAAGGAGAGAGGACAGGCAAACAGGTGCCACCTCTGCACAGCCCAAGCTTCTTCTGTGAGAGGACAAGGCTGCAATGATCAAGCAACAAGGTTTATGATATTTGCTACAGGATGGAGTGTGCGGTCATAAGAATGTATAAAGGGTTTAAGTGCAGGAAGTTACAGATTGGAGAGGGCGGCCATGGCTACGAGCTTGGATGGCACAGAGCCGTAGAGCCAGTTGAAGCTCACCGCCCTGGTGGGACACGTGAAGGCATGCACACATGCAAAGACGCATGCACGAACAGATGCGTACACATACACATGGCACACATGCACATGCACAGAAGAGCCAACCAGAAATCCACATCGAAGGACAGGAGTAAAAAGGATGAATAATGAAGGCTTAAAAGCTACGCACGAGTAGATGAGCAAGGCCAAAGACACGCGCAACCGAGAGTATGTCATAGCAGAGGAGGTGTGGAGGAGGTGCTGAGAAGTTGATGAGAACGTTCTGAATGCATCAACACTTGGGACGACAAAAGAACGGGTCGGCTGGATGGGATGCAACAACTTTGCTATGCCTTGAGCACGGAAGCTACATCCTTGAACCTATACAGGTCTGTGATAGATCCTATTACATCCTATGATTCTATACATGTCTGTGGTTCTATCAAGGTCCTTGGCCCTGTACATGCGTGGGAGGGGTTGCACAAACAGCAGCACTTATTACCTAACAGAACGACGGAAGCAAAGAAGGCAGGCCCTAAAGGCTGGGGTGCATGGAATTGGTAGCACTCACAGAATATTAAGGAGGATTTGGCTTTAGTCATGACAGGAGCCACACAGAAGCATGTGTTGAGACGCCTGAGAGCAGTTACATTATCACATGCTTGGTTATAGTATCACATGCGTGGTCATCGGATCGCATGCGTGGTTATAGTATCGCATGCGTGCTTACAGTATCACATGCGTGGTTATAGTATCGCATGCGTGCTTACAGTATCACATGCATGGCTCTAGTATCACATGCGTGGTTATAGTATCACATGCATGGTTATAGTATCGCATGCGTGCTTACAGTATCACATGCGCGGTTATAGTATCGCATGCGTGCTTACAGTATCACATGCGTGGTTATAGTATCACATGAGTGGTTATAGTATCACATGAGTGGTTATACTATCACATGCGTGGTTATAGTATCACATGAGTGGTTATAGTATCACATGCGTGGTTATACTATCACATGCGTGGTTATAGTATTGCACGCGTGGTTATAGTGTCAGAGTAGTTTGAGCACGAACAGGCCCATGAGAAAGCCATGGGCGGGGGAAGGCACTCACATGTCCTTGAGAGAGGCCGTGGGCAGGATAGGAGCCACAAAGGAATCGAGACGCTGGAAGAAGAGGTTGGATGACAGGTGGCTGAGGATGGGAGGGAAGACACGGGGGGGACACAACGAAAAAAACAAATGGGCAAAACAAGCATTATGAGAGCAGAGTGGAGGAACAGGAGAGTGGGACAGGGGCTGGGTAGTGCAGATTGCGGTGTGATTGTTGGGATGGGAACCATGAGAGAATGTTGTGCAGCTGTGACAGCGATACAGTTAAGCTGTGATTCTGTGCGTGTTACCTCACGGCACACAGAGCACTGGATTCCTGCCCTATCCCGTCTTAAACACGAGCATCCCTGCCTGAGGGGACTCCTATACTGTCACTTGCTTCACACTGCACTGATCCTGCTTGATAACTTCACCCTTTTATCCTGAGTCAGACCCCAATCCTGATAACCCAACGGCCTTACAGCGCAGTGAGTGTGGTGAGCTTGGAAATGTCGGCGTGTACAGTGCCTCGTAGCAGGAAATTACGAAGATCCCTGCACTCCAGGCAGAGGGGGGCGTGCGGCAGGGACAGCACAAGTGGAAGCAGCAGGGCAGGGGGAGCAGCAGAGACAGAGGGAACAGACGGGGAAGACAGAGTGATGGAATTCATGCATCATGACAGCGATACGCAACGCGCGGCACACACTAGTCAAAAAGCGGTGGTACGAAGCAGTGTACCAGCAGAAACCATGAAGGATGGAATTGCAGCACTCACAGGCCAACAACATTGCCGGCAGAAGAGCAGAACAGGCCCGGCCAGGAGCCAGGCACGGGCATCTGGCCTTGAATCGTGCACAGGCCCGCCTGCGCTGAAGGGGGGGCCACCAGGAGCACCCTCTCCCTGCCCGCTTCACTCGCTGCCAAGCGCCGCCGCTTTAGTGCCTTTGGCCCGTTGCTGATCTCGCTGGTAAGGGGGCTGGCCTTGGCTGCAATGGTACTGGCTGACCACTCGGTGAAGGTGACCCCGAGAGCTGTCTTGACAGTGAGGAGAATGGCAGCCTGCGCTGCGCTCAAAGGCACACCGACGCAGAAGCGCGGGAGAATGGGAGACGAGGTGGTGGGGGTGGTGAAGGTGGCAAGAGGGCCTGCTGTGTTGGGAGCACAGGTGCCGCCCCTATAGATGGGATCGGTGCCCTTAAGAGAGTCACAGACGGCGCAAGAATCCAATGGGCGCTGCGTGGTGCCTGTCGTGTTGCATGCGCCTATGTTGGCGAAGCAGTTGGAGGAGGCAGAGCAGGAGAGGAAGCCAGTGCCGGGGAATGTGACGGACAGCCAGTTCTTCTGCACATCAATGGTCTTGAGAGCCGTGCCGAGCTTGGGCACGGGGCCATACAGGTAGTTGTAGCTCGCTCCGCTGAAGAGGAGGGGAGATTGATGGGGGTGATTATAAAAGAAAAGAGTGAGTGAGTGAAGTGTGTGTGAGAGCTCCTGAAATTGATTGAGTGTAAGAGTGAAAAGGTAGGGTAGCGAGAGTGAGATAAAAGCAGTGGACGCAGTTACACAGGAGCAAAGGCAATGGGGCAGTAGGAGCAAAGGCATAGGGCAAAGAAGAGGGCGCGAATTCCCTAGAAGCAAAAGGCAAGGAGGTCTCACAATGATGTGAGGGAGGTGATGCCCACAAGGGCTGAGGGGATGGACGCAGAGAACCAGTTGAAGTCGAAGTAGCTGCCATGGGAGAGGTGATAGGGTTGGGAGGGAGGAGGCGGGCGATATTTGGAGGTCAATTCGTGCAGGAGGTCAATACGTGCAGGAGGGCAATTCGTGCAGAAGGGCAATACGTGCAGGAGGGCAATTCGTGCAGAAGGGCAATACGTGCAGGAGGGCAATTCGTGCAAAAGGGTAATTCGTGCAGGAGGGCAATTCGTGCAGAAGGGAAATACGTGCAGGAGGGCGATTCGTGTAGAAGGGCAATTCGTGCAGGAGGGCAATTCGTGCAGAAGGGCAATTCGTGCAGGAGGGCAATTCGTGCAGACAGAGATGGAATGATAGGCAAGTCAATCTGGGGAGGATTGACGTGATGGGAGAAGAGGAGGGAAGAAAAGGAGCGGAGAAACTGTTGGAGTTCCAACTTTTTCTCACGAATGGGAGTGAAATGACCATGCATGCCAGGGAACAGTGGGCTGTGGCTGGCAAGGCAGCCTGCTTCCAACTTGTGGCCCAGGTAACCCCATGCAGGAAGCCCATGCCTCCCACGCACCCAGGAAGCCCATGCCTCCCACGCACCCATGCCTCCCACCCACGCACCCAGGAAGCCCATGCCTCCCACGCACCCATGCCTCCCACGCACCCAGGAAGCCCATGCTTCCCACGCACCCATGCCTCCCACGCACCCATGCCTGCCATGCACCCATGCCTCTCACGCAACCATGCCTCCATGTGCCTACTCGTGTCCCTACTCAAGTGCACTACTCTGCAAAGGGACGCTAGGCCACGCCACTCACGCTTGCTTGAGGGATTTGAGCGCGCTGAAATAGGATGTGAACACATCCAGACGCCCCTGTAATAGGTTGCTGCGGAGATCACTGTAAAGGATACAGAGGGAGTATGCGTGGTAACCGTGGATTTAACAAGAGGAGGGCGTAAGGGGAGTAGAACGCAGAGATGGAAGTGTAACAATAACACAATAAAAGACAACATGGTAGGGACATATAAGGGAGAGGGAAATGAGGAAAGTCAGCAACACAGCAGCGGCGTTATTAATGACGCAAAATCACAGATGAAGAGTGGGAGGCTCGAGTGTGGTTATTTCCGGGGTGGTGAGGACTGTAAGGTTGGAAGGACATACCTTTGGGGTGCTTGAAAATTATACATACATAGAGGTGAGGGTGGTGAGCTTGGAGATATCTGAGTGCATCCTCCCCATCAGCTTCAGGCCAGACAGCTTACTGCTCATTCAACGACAGCAAGAAACAGCAAAATCAAACACAAACAGCAGTGATGTTCGAAAACGGGGTGAAATGGTGCTGACAAGAACTCACAAGGTTCAACATTCCAACGTTTCAAACCCTCGGGTGACCTTCAGAACATTCACACTCAAGCCTTAGAGGCAGAAGCATGGCTATATGGGGTGCCGACATGTTGGAGACAGGTCCAGCACGCTGGGAGCCTGTGCTTCAAATTTCTTGACAGCGAGGACGCTGAGAACTCAAAAGGTTTGACATTGCAACATTTCTAATGCAGAAACCTCCAACGGTCACAAACTGCATGAATCTTGACAGCGAGATCGGCCAGATGCAGTGAGGACCCGGCCAACTCACAGGGAGATGGGTTTGAAGATGGAGTCGCAGAGGACATTGGACCACGCGCCTGGCGGTGCTGCCACTCCCTGCACGGCACACGGCGAGCTCACCGCCCAGTCCGTGAAGGACACTCCCAGCAATGCCTTCACACTCAGTAGTGCCGCAGCTGGGGTGGTAGAGGAAAGGGAGGAGTGTAGGACAGGGGAGAGACGAGAATGGGAGTGTGGTTGATTTGGTGCAATGTGATTTGATATGATGTGGTAGATTGAGATGGAGTAAAATAATATGTGAGAGTGAGATCACCCAGGAACTTGGGCAATCCTCCTCTTTTCCATCATGCACCCACTTTCTCACCTCACATGTCCCCATCCATACTCAACCTCCTCACTACTTATTGCACTCACCCATAGTAGCATCCATGGGAGCACCCGCGCAGTACATCTCAGCCGTCCCTGTATTCACAGTCCTTGCTGCGATCAGAGCTGTCGAACTGGGAGCACACGTGCCGCCATCACAGAGCACCCCGGTGGCGTCGGTGCTGCCGCAGATGGCACATGCTGCTGCTGCTCGCTGCGTGCTGCCACTGATGCACTTGGTGCTGTCCTTGAAGCAGTTGCTGGCGCAGCTGCAGTAGGTGGTGGTGGTGGTGGGGAACGTTCCCACCAGGTAGTTCCCTGATGTGTCCAGGAACTTGAGGGACGCCGGCAGCGCTGCCGGCATGCTGCCTGTTAGGTAGTTGGCCTGGATCTTGCTGTAATGGGCAAGGGAATGTGTAATGAAGGTTGATGGCCCATATGCGTGTACAGGAATGCTGCATGAACCACAGAGCTCTGCCAAGAAAATTCAGAAGGTGGGTGGAGAGATTTTCTCTACACAATGCTATATAAAACTTACACAAAAAAAAAAAAAAAAAAATCCAGATGGAGAGAAACTACGAGAGGAATAAGCAGTAAGCTCACAGTTCAGAGAGGGCGGAGAAAGCAGTGAGTGATGGTGGCAAGGCGCCTGACAGGTAGTTGTTGAACACGTGGCTGGTGTTGGGGATGAGGGTGGCATTAGTGGGAGAGGATGATGAATTAGAGGGTAGACAACACTGTGAGAAGAAGTGAACGAGAATGGAATGACTATGAATGAAGTCAGTACATATAGGAAACCCTAATTGGGTTGTACCCCCTATGGGATACCCCACTATAGCCTACACAAATAAGTAAGCTATAATGTTCTGACACACCCCCATATGCAAAGTGGGGGAGAACAAGGGGTCACAAGACCAGTCAAGCAAAGCAAGGCAAAGCTCAGGGTGGATCACAAAGTCACCACACATTCCGAGCACAGGTTCAAAGGCCAAAAGGCCAGTTCACATGCAAGAACACATATATATAGATATACAAGAGGCTAAGCAAGCAAGAGCAAGAGTATATAGAAGTGACAGTACAAGCAAGGTCAAGAAGTGAGCAAGTGAGGCAAGACAGGCACAAGACCCAACTTAGTGCAGAAGCGCTGATGATCACAAGGCGCAAGTGCCTTGGTGAAGACATCAGCAGTGTTGGCCTCAGAGGCCACGTACGCAAGCCGCAACTGTCCACGCTGCTGTAGCTCACGAGCAAGAAAGTAGCGGAGAGCAATGTGCTTTGTCCTGTGCTCCAGTCGCTGCTCTCGACACAAGGCCAGCATGGCCTTGTTGTCTACGTACAGGACTGGAGGAGAACGAGGCGGCTCTCCAAGGTCGGTCAGTAGGTAGGTGAGCCAGCGAAGCTCCTGGGCAGCCATAGCCCCGGCATAGATCTCAGCCTCACAACTGGAGCCGAGAACAGAAGACGAGCGGGTAGCCCGCCACGAAACAGAGCCGGAACCGAGGCTGAAGGTGTAACCCTATGACGACCGCTGCGCAGCCTGGTCGTCAGCCCAAGAAGCGTCCGCGTGCCCAGTGAGGACCACTGGACTCCGCCCTCCAAGCACTAGCCCCATGCCCGACGTACTGCACAAGTAGCGCAACACCCTCTTCGCTGCAGCCATGTGCTCTGGTCGGTGTCTCCCAGGAGCAACATAGCGTGCAAGAATGCTAAGAGGGTATGCAAGGTCAGGTCGTGTGCAGGTCATCAGGTACATGAGGCAGCCAACAAGCTCTGGATACGGGCCACTCGACTCTACGGACTCATCCGAAGGCAGAGCTGAGAGCGAGTGGCGAGTAGGCAGAGGAGTGGCCTGAGGCGAGGAGTACGTGAAGCTGAAGCGCTGAAGGACCTGCTGCACCATGTGTGACTGAGTCAAGGTAATGGTGCGGCGTGCTCTGTCCCGGGTGATCTGCAAGCCAAGGTAGCTGCGCAGTTCAACCAGGTCAGTGCACGTGTGTCTCTTCTGCAGCTCGGACTTAACGTAGCCGAGTCCAGCAGTGTCAGCAGTGGCAAAAACCAAGTCGTCGACGTACACGAGGATGTAGAACGGCGGCAGAGAAGTGTCGGTGCGCAAAAACAGCGACGGGTCGGCAGTAGAAGGAGCAAACCCAAGAGCCGCAAGCGTAGTCCTCAGTGTGTCGTGCCACTCACGGGGCGCCTGGCGGAGACCGTAGACTGGACGCCGGAGACTCCACTGGAGGGAAAGACCCAGTGAAGCCAGGTGGGCGGCGCAGCCAGATCTCCTCGTGCAAGCTGCCCTGCGAGAACGCAGTGCTGAAGTCGAGAGAGTGCAGCTCGTAGTCACGGTGAGCAGCAACGTGCAGCAGTACCCGAAGAGTGGTCATCTTCGGGGTGGGGGAGAAGGTCTGAAGGTAGTCAACCCCCTGCCGCTGACTGAAGCCACGAGCCACGTAACGCGCCTTGAAAACAGGCGGAGAACCCGGCGGCCGTTTCACCCTGAAGATCCACATGCCACTGACGATGTTCGCCCCAGGAGGGGGGACAGCGTCAACGTAGGTGCCTGTGGACTTCCAGGAAGCCATCTCTGCATCCATAGCTGCCTGCCACTGAGAGGAGTAGGGACCCTCTATCGCCTCTGTGTAAGAGCGCGGAGTCCGGATGTCAAGTGCATCCGGGTCTCCCTCAGGGGTAAGCAGTACGGACAAGAGATGCGGTGAAGCGGCTGCCAGGCACTGGAACTCCTCCTGCCTGTCCTTGAGGACGTCCGTGCCAAGGGCACACTCACCCCCGACGGACGGAGGACAGACAGACTCAGACTCTGCGACAAGACTAGCAGCGTAGTCTAAGCGACAGCGAGCAGCAAAGTCGACGAGCTCAGCAACTAGGGCAGACGCAGCAAAAGACTCGAAAGAAGGGTCAGTGACGACAGTAGCAAGGAAACGCGTGACAGTAGGACTGGCAGCACGGAGAGAGTCCGACTCCGGGTCGGCAAGAGCAGGAAGAGAGGACTTAGGAGGAGGAGGTAAAGGGGCACGCAGAGGAGCAGTAGACGGACGCAGTGACATCCGGTGCGTGCCAGGGACAGGAGGAGGACGCTGACGCGAACTACGACCACTAGCGCGTGCAGGACGAACAGGTGACGCAGGACGGGACGCAGGCTCACGACGCTCAGTAAGGCCTCAAGTGGGACCAGTGTAGGGAGAAGGAGCAGGTAAGGGGGAAGGAGGCTGTAGCTGTGACTGGGACGGGACAGGTTGTGGACGCTCTAAGAGAGGAGGAGAGCTAGGAGAGGGTGGAACACCAAGAATCTGCTGCAGGAGTAGAACGAAGTACGGTCGAGGCCGCGCGGCGACACCAAACACAGCAGGGACGGCACCAGTACCCCAAGCATGAGCACCCGCTCTAGTAGCACCTCTGGTAGCACCCTTAGAAGCTCCAGAACCCCCAGCAGCACCAGGAGCACCGCCTGCAGGACCGCCAGTGGTAGACTCAGCGCCAACACCCTTAGCAGCACCAGCTCCACTCGAACCCGCAGGCCCAGCAGCTCCAATACTCAAAGTACGAGCACCTCCGGGACCCGCGACAGTAGCACCCTCAGCAGTAGAATAACCTCCAGCACCAGCAGTACGCCTCCAGCGACGGGCAAACCACTCACGCAGCTCCTGTGGGGAGAGTGGCTCTCGGCCAGACGAAGCACCCGGCGAACCTCCAGGCGAAGAAACTCCAGGCTCAGCACCCCCGGGCAAAGCACCTCCAGGCTCAGCACCCCCAGGCTCAGCACCCCCAGGCCCAGCACCCCTAGGCTCAGCACCCCCAGGCTCAGCACCCCTAGGCTCAGCACCCCCAGGCTCCGCACCCCAAGGCTCACCACTCCCAGGCTCAACACCTCTAGGCTCAGCACCCCCAGCAGCACCAGAGTCACCAGTGACCTCGACAGGCTCGACCGCGTCTACCTGGGACACACCTGAAGGGGCAGGACCCTGAGGGGGGAGGGGGTCTACCGGGGGGGGACCTGGTACCAAGAAGAGCGGGGGTGGGGGGAGGGACGGAGTGCGGTAGGGGAAGAGGCGGTAGTAGGGTACCGACTCGTCGAACGTGACGTCCTGGGAGGACAGAACACGGCGAGAGGTGGGGTGGTAGAACTTCCACCCAGGGGCATCGGGGGGGAACCCCAGGAAGACGCAGGGAGTAGCGCGAGGGGACAGCTTGTCCGCAGACAAGTCGCGGACAAACGCCCGAGATCCCCAGACCCGGAACGCTGACGCATCGCCAACCTTCCCGGTCCACAGCAGGGCTGGGGAGGTCTCCGGCCGGGAGACCCTGGGGTGAAGGTTGATCTGGTGCGCCGCGTACCTCACCGCAAACGGCCACAGAAAATGGGGGGCAGCCGCATGCATCATGGACGTACGAGCGACGTCCATGACCATGCCAATGCGGCGCTCAGCGATCCCATTTTGCTGCGGAGAGTCCGGAAGCGTGAAGGTCTGACGAATGCCCCGTGCGCGACAGTAGGCTCTCAGAAGGGCAGAGGAGAACTCTCCGCCTCTGTCCGAGTGCAGACGCAGAACAGGAAAGTCCGAGCCAAAGCTCTGCCTGAGCTGGAGACGAGCTGCGCGGATCCAGTCGATCAGCACCTCAGTGACATCACCCTTGCTGCGCAAGGGGAAGACTGTGGTGTAACGCGAGTAGTCGTCAACAACAAGCAGGAAGTAGCGCTCGTGACCTTGTCCACGGACGTGGGCTGGGCCCCACACGTCCATGTGAAGCGTCTGCAACGGGGCCTCTGTCGGAGGAAACTGGGAGGAGTGAGGGGCAGCACGCTGGCGCCCCTCAACACAGGGGACACAGGTTGGGCCAGGGCCCTAAGGAAGGGGAGGGAGGGACCGGGGGAGACCAGACACAAGAAGACGGGAGGCCATGCCTCTGAGCCGAAGCAGAGAGGGGTGACCAAGGCGGTGGTGCCAGTGGAGAGTCTCGTGAGACAGGAGACGACACGAACAGGGGGCAGACTCAGGACTAGACCTGGACGCTGCAGCAAACACCTGACCGGACGCAGGGACCCTACCAGACTCAGTAACAGGGGGAGACGCAGTGGTCAGTGTGTACAGGCTCGACCTTGGCTGACGGGTAAACATAGCCAGTTGTCGACCTGTGCTAGCCTCTGTGCAGTGCGTCACCCGCTGACGAGCAGGGGTGAACTGGTGGACTCCCGCATCCTGTAGGTCAGCACCACTCACCAAGTTCGTAGAGAACGAGGGGAGGTAGAGACCAGACAGGGTGCCAGAGGGAGCCGCCGGACACGGGAGGACAGTGGAGAAGCGAGACAGGACAGGGCCCCCGGAGGGGTCAGCCAGGGAAACCGCAACCGGCCGACTAAGCGGCGTGAGTGTGGTGCGATCCCGAAAGAAGGAGCGAGACGCCCCAGAGTCAAGGGTGAAGGTGTGGGAGGCCGAAGCCGACGTAGTACCTGAGAGCGCAGACTCACCAGTACCCGAGGACGCAGACACACTAGCACCTAGAGCAGCAGCGTCGCAAGCACCTAGGGCAGCAGCCTCACCAGTACCTAGAGCGGCAGTCTCAATGCCCGGGTCGGGCGGAAAACACCGGTAACAGTCACCCTCATCACTAATGGTCACAACATACATGGCAGCAAGGATAGCATCAAAGTCAAGATCAAAAATAGCTACGCCAGCCCTAGACAGCTCTCCCCAGCGGGGGATCTCCGTTGCCTCTGGAAACTGCTGACGCCAAGCGTCCGTCAGGCGGCCAAAACAGCGCTGGGTGGAGTGGGCACCCCCACACTGCTCACCCGCACGGTCGCCGGTGCGAAGGATGTAGGTGCAGGGACCAAGTCCCCCACCACGCTGACGCTGCGTGTACCACTCACGGAGCTGCTTAGGGGTGGGGACGTCGCGAGAACACTGCTGCTGCTGCTGATAGCGCTGACCACCCCCAGTGCCGCTCCGCTGTGAAGTGCCACTCCGACCACCTCCACCACCTCCACCTCCACCGCCTCCACCTCCGCCACCGCCGCCACCCCCGCCAGTACCGCCGCCGCCTACGCCACCTCCGCCTCCACTGCTACCACTAGCACCCCCACCCCCACCACCTCCTCCACCGCCACCCCCACTCCCTCCGCCGGCTCCACCTCCACCGCCACCGCCCCCGCTAGCCCCACCTGCTCCCTTGCCCCCCTTGCCCTTGCCAGGGCGGCGTCTCCCGCTAGGGGCAGACGCCGCACCGACCGACTCAAGACCAACGAGGTCGGCCGCAGCGGCAGAGGCGACAGAGGGCAAGAGAGGGGAAGGAGAACACCCCTCAAAGATGGGGGCGCGGGGGTCACCTCGAGAGGCTCCTACAGCGACGATGCTTTTCTCCGCCGCTAGGAGGGCCTTCTCTAGGCTGTCGACTGTGAGAGTGGTGGGACAGACCGCAAGGAAGTGGTCCCGGACTACACGAAGGGAGTCGGGGAGGCGGGTGACTAGAAAGTAGAGAGTGATGTACATGGGGGGGGGGGTTCTTGGCGCAGAAGTCAGCAGGAAGCGCAGCGCGGTAGCGGGTGTCACTAGTGCGGAGGTGCGTAATGAGATCAGCGACTGTGGGAAAGGCGGCAAGGTCAGGGAAGAGGAAGGGTAGCATGAGGCGGCTCAGTGCAGCAGTGGCAGGGGAAGAGTAGCGTGCAACTACAGCGTCGTACAAGGTCTGAGCACTCTTGTACTGACTAAAGTGCGCGCGCTCAGCGGTAGGCAGGTGGCGACGCACAGGAAGACGTGCAGCTTCATCGCGGGTGGCCCACTGAGAGCGAACAGTGGGGTCAGCATCAGCAGCAGGGGCAGGAGAGGCGCCAGAGGTAAGGTCAAAAAGAGAAAGACCGTCCGCCCTATCGCACTGTAAAAACAGCTGCAGGTCGTCGACCCAGACCTCAAAGTCAATGGCTCGACCCTCAGCGTCAAAAGCGAGGACACTAGGGGTAGCCCTGACTACAGACTAACAGTGCAAGCAGTGTGGGAAGGGCACGCAGTAGCAGTGGGGCTGTGCTCACCAGACAGGGCAGGTCGGGCGGCTCGGCAGTAGTGCGGCTCGGCTGCGGGGCGGCTCGGGGGTACTGCGGCTCGGCGGCCCGGCGGCTCGGCGGCTGCTGCTGGGCGGCTCGGCTGTACAGCGGCTTGGCGGCCCGGTGGCTCGGCGGCTGCTGCTGGGCGGCTCGGCTGGAATGCGGCTCGGCGGCTGCTGCTGGGCGGCTCGGCCGGACTGCGGCTCGGCGGCTGCTGCTGGGCGGGTCGGCTGCTCCGGTACCGGGCGGCGTGGCGGTCGGCTGCTTGGGCGGCTCGGCAGGAGGGTGAGGGCGGCGGGGCCGCGTAGGTGAGGGCGGCGTGGCCGCGAAGGTGAGGGCGGCGGGGCCGCGAAGGTGAGGGCGGCGGCGCCGCGTAGGTAAGGGCGGCGGGGCCGCGTAGGTAAGGGCGGCGGGGCCGCGTAGGTAAGGGTGGCGGGGCCGCGTAGGTGAGGCGGCGGGGCCGCGTAGGTAAGGGTGGCGGGGCCGCGTAGGTGAGGCGGCGGGGCCGCGTAGGTGTGGCGGCGGGGCCGCGTCGTGAAGGGCGACGGGGCCGCGTAGGTAAGGGCGGCGGGGCCGCGTAGGTAAGGGCGGCGGGGCCGCGTAGGTGAGGCGGCGGGGCCGCGACGTGAGGGCGGCGGGGCCGCGACGTAAGGGCGGCGGAGCCGCGTAGGTAAGGGCGGCGGAGCCGCGACGTAAGGGCGGCGGGGCCGCGACGTAAGGGCGGCGGGGCCGCAACGTAAGGGCGGCGAGGCCGCTTAGGTAAGGGCGACGGGGCCGCGACGTAAGGGCGGCGAGGCCGCGTAGGTAAGGGCGGCGGGGTCGCGTAGGGGCGACACGAAGGGTCGCTAAAAAAAAGAACGCGCGCCTCGGGGCGCGCTTCGGTGGGCCCTAGAAACAGTCCCTAGGAGGGGACATGCTCTGATACCATGAGAAGAAGTGAACGAGAATGGAATGACTATGAATGAAGTGAGTACATATAGGAAACCCTAATTGGGTTGTACCCCCTATGGGATACCCCACTATAGCCTACACAAATAAGTAAGCTATAATGTTCTGACACACTGGGCCCTCTAGGTCGTTTGGTATGGGCTGTTTCTCATGCCTGACACGGATGGGTGCTGTGGGATGGGATATGCTGCAAGCCAGGAAAGACGAGGCAAGATAGGTCAAGACTTGAAAGCTACGGAGCCACCAACCAAAATATGGTTGGGGAACCAGTGCGGTTGGGTCAGTGTAGTTGGGGGTGGAGTGTGTTTGGGTGTGCAGCGCAGTTAGGGGTGCAGTGTGGTTGGTTGTGTTGGATTGGGGGTTGATTGTGGTTGCGGGAGCAGTGCATGAAGTGGAGCGAGTGCAACTCACAGGACTTTGAGGGTCTTGACGGGAAGAAGAGGGGTGAGGAAGGAATCCAGGCGGCCTGAGAAGAGGTTGTTGTTCAGCTCGCTGCAGCATGGCACAGCCCACATACATGCAGCATGGCACAGCCCACACACGTGCAGCATGGCACAGCCCACGCACGTGCAGCATGGCACAGCCCACACATGTGCAGCATGGCACAGCCAACACACGTGCAGCATGGCACAGCCCTCACATGTGGACCTCAGGGCATGTGATTGTGTGATGATGAGAGCATGTGACGATGAGAGCGTGTCAGCATGTGGCTACATGAGGACCAGAGAATGCAAGGTGAGTTGCCAAGTGCACACAGTGAAGGACGGATGGTGCAAACTAACGAACCACACATTCAAGCTGTTGGGAAATGAAGGAAGGTGCAGCTTACAGTCGGGTGAGAGAGGTGAGTGTTGACACCGAGGAGTTGATGGACCCTGGCAGAAGCTGATTGCCCAGCGTGCTGAATGCGTGTGGCAAAACAAGGTGGTGGTTGGGTACGTAGCACAAGGTCACCAACAAGGGAGAACGTAGCATGGTAATTTGGCTGCATGATGGATACATGATGGTTCAAATGATGCTACAGCAAAATCTTCCAACAGAACAACGACGAGACCCCATCACAACGAGAAAGAGGATACACCAAGCAGCCCCCCTGCACTCACAGGCTGAGAACCTTGCCGGTGGCGTCACACACAACGCTCGACCACGAGCCCGGCACCACGGCCTGGCCTGCCAATGCGCACGGCGCATCCACATTCCAATCCGTGAACGTGACACCCAGCGATGCCTTCACACTCAGCAGCGCCAACCCCATGGCCGCATCCATGGGCACTCCCAGGCACCTCAGTGGCAGCAGCGGCTGGCCATCCGTGTTGGGGGTGGAGGAGGCAGCAGCGGCGGGGGCATCAGGGGCGCACAGCCCTCCCCCACACAGAACGCCAGAAGCATCGGTGGACCCACACACACTGCACTCTGAGGCTGCCCGTTGCGCCGTGCCGGCAGTGTTAGCGCAGTTGGTGGCGGTGGAGAGGCAGATAGAGCGGGCATCGCAGGCGGTGAGGGAGATGGCGGGGAAGGCGCCCGAGAGCAGGTTTCTGGCCACGTTGAGGGCCTTGAGGGTAGTCTTGAACGCCGGCACTGTGCCCGTCAGATAGTTGCGGTTCAGCTTCCTGTGCGTGGCAGTGAGGGAGGCAGGAAGAGAGGGGGAGGCGGACAGAAGAAAGGAGGATAAGCAACAGGAGCAGATGGCGGGATTGATGAGAGTGCTGATGTTAGCAGGTGGTTGAAGGGCAGGGTGGTGGAGGGTGGAGAAGGAGGGCCAGTGGGGACGAAAAAGAGCACGTCACACAGAGGACCAAGAGTAAATGTCATGCTCGACTGTCAAGAACGAGTGTGGAATGTGAGGTTGGTGCGAGCGAGAGTGCTTCAAACAGAGAGATGAGTGGGAAAGTACAAGGTGCTGGCAGAGGGTGATGTTTGAGGCTCTTTAGAGGATGCAAAAGGGTGGAGCATGCCCGAGTGTGGAACGGGGATCACTTACAGGGTGGAGAGAGCAGACAGAGCAACGAGAGAGGAGGGGATGGAGCTAGAGAACCAGTTGTTCTGCAGGTGACTGTGGGTGGGAAGTAATGTGTTGTGAGGAGGATCCGAGTGAGTGAAGATTAGCGAGAGTAGCATGTAGTGTCCAGGTGCACAGCACCGTATACAGTGTGGAAAAATCACTATAAACAAACAAATATCGAGCACTCCACACAGTGAACAGCGGAATAACGTACAGATTCTGAAGAGCCTTGAGGGAAGAGACGAGCGAGAGAAAGACATCCAGGCAGCGCTGGAAGAGATTGGAGCTCAGGTCGCTGCACACATGCATGCACAAGCAAGCAGATACACACGCACGCACATGCACAGAGGTGTGAAGTTTTTTTAAGAAGCAAAACTGAATCAAAAGAGAGGAAAGCTGGGTTTGGCACACAAGTAGCAGGAAAGAGCAGAAAACATGAGAGGGTGTATAATGGAAATGGATTTGGAGGGCGTACAGCAAGGTGAGGGCTGTGAGCTTAGTGATTTCCGTTGATAAGCTTCCACTGAGCTTCTGATTTGGTAGCACACAGTGAAGCAGAAGAGTGGGAGAGAGTGGAGCCAATGAGGGAGGAAGGGCGAGTGTCACTCAATCTACTCACGTTACATCACAATCAAGTTCCAGTTGAAACTCACGAGCAACTCTACATACCCACAGCAGCACGGTAGAGCACAGCAGCATGGCAGCACTTACATGCCCACAGCAACGCCCTTGGAGCTACAGTAGACGCCGGTCCATGCGCCTGGGTTGGGAGTCTGCCCCTCCAACATGCACGTGCCCTGAGTCACTGCCAGCGGCACACTGCTGCTGCGTGGGAGCGACTTGCCCGAGATGGGACTGCTGGGCTTGAGCAAAGGCAGGGTGGCAGTCCAGTCTGTCAGCGTCACCCCCAGTGCGGCCTTGATGGCTAGCATGGTTTAGGCTGGAAAGGCGTGCATGGGAGGTGGATGAAGGTGGGAAGAAGGGGGAAGGAGGGTAGAGGGAGGGATGAGTCGAGGGGATCGAGGTCGTGGGGTTAGTGTGGTGATGGAGCCAGCTGTAGTAGGCACCTCGAAGCCTCTATCATATCCTGAAACCAAGCCACTCAGGTCTCCCTTACTTGGCACGATCTTTCAAAACTACCCCCAGCTCTTATCTTTATAAGTTTCCGGCACAACGTAGCTAGGATTTATTGCCTGGGCATTCACCCGTTTCTGTAGCCGTCAGTCTTTCAATCCATGAAACCATACAGAATAGGGAGATAACAAAGCTGCACAGAAGAAGCAAAAGAACACACTCACTTGTTGCCAAGTCCATGGGAATAGCCTCGCATAAGAGAGGGAGACTAGCGGAAAGCGCAGTGGGGGGGGTGATCACCCCAGCCCCGGCAGCAGCAACCCGGCAGGTGGTGGCAGCAGCACACAGAGCGCCCTGGCCGTTGGTGGAGCCACAGACAGCACATTCAGCGGCGCTGCGCTGTGGCAGTCCCAGTGATGCACTCTTGGACGCGTCCACCAGGCAGTTGCCCGTGCTGGCGCAGTAGGAAATGCTGTTGGCCGCCACAGAACCCGCCAGGAAGTTGCTTTGCACGTCCAGAGAGGCGAGCGTGGTGGGGAGTGCGGTGGGGAGTGATCCTGTGAGGTAGTTGAAGGCCACGGAGCTGATGGCGTGGTGGAGGAGGGTAGAAGAGAATGAATGAGAATCAATGAAAAAAGGCAGCTGTTGAGGTGATGCATGGCTGCGAAGCAATGTTGGGAGGAGGCTATTTTGCAGATTCTGCTTGCTCAAAATTTGCTTCTATCTAACATTACTCTCGCGGGTGATATAAATCGAAGGCCTTGCTTCAGCAAATCATTAATATCACATGATAATCATCCTATGGTCACTCACAGTGTTGAGAGGGTTGTGAGGGCGAGGAGGGCCGAAAGGAAGGCGCCATAGAGGTAGTTGCACTGCAGGTAGCTGCATGGGTGCACGGGGGATAGGGGTGATTGAGGGAGGAGGACTATGCATGATCATCTTGCCCCGGTGGGTCGGGCCGACCCGACACGACCCGGGTTTTGACCCGGGTCGGGTCAGGCATTTTGAAGCGTTGACCCGGGCGGGTCGGGTCGGGTTTACCCGGCCGGGTCGGGCCGACCCGCCACCCGAAACCGGGTCGGGTCGGGTCGGGTCAGTTTTTGACCCGAAATTTGACCCGACTCGAAATCGGGTACCGCGCCCTAAGTCGGGTCGGGCCCCTCCCACGACAATTCGAACTAAAGCAGATCGCAAAGTCAATGTCTAGGGTTCGATTGTTCCCTTGATATTGACTTCGATCTGCAATACCTAGGCAGCTAGCAATAGCTCGTTCTCAAGCTCTAGAACTCTCTAAACCAGTGCCCATGTTTAGGAACCCTATTTCAAGTGTTTCCATGTTGGCGGAATGGACTTCTTAGCCTAGCGCGACCAACCACAGATTTTCGATTTTATAGACTTCGTTATTCCTAGCTCTCACACGCGACTTAACTCTGGCCCCGAGTTCAAATCGCCCACTGCGCGCCTACCACGCCCGCATCGATAGGGTTGCGACCCCCAATTGTCTAGGCCTGCGCCATTACAAAACGTCGCAACACTGGACAGTAGTGAGGAAACCCCTACAGACTGCATATGGGGTTCTGGCCCGACCCGACCCGACCCGGAGCCTACCCGACCCGACCCTGTGGCGGGTCAAGCCTGACCCGGCACCCGATACCCGGGTCGGGCCAGGATTCCTAGAAGTGCTGACCCGACCCGACCCGACCCGGAACCCGGCTGGCCCGCCCAAGTCGGGTCGGGTCGGGCCTAATGATCATGCCTAAGGAGGACGAAGGAGGGAAACCGCCGCAAGAGTACCGAAGGGAAGAAATAATAATAGAAAACTAAATAGATAGAACACACACACACATACATACATACTCGCGTCAAGGGAGGCGGCTGGGCCGCGTCAGGGGAGGCGGCAAAGCCGCGTCAGAGGAGGCGGCGGGGCCGCGAGTGAAAAGGCGACCCGAGGGGTCGCTAAAAAAAAAGGCGCGCCTCGGGGCGCGCGTCGGTGGGCCCAGACAACGGTCCTAAGGTAGGACCCGCTCTATACCATGTGAAAATAGGAAAACAGGAATGAATGAACTATGAATGAAAGCAGTACAAATATGAAACCCTAACTGGGTTGTACCCCCTATGGGATACCCCACTACAGCCTACACAGCAGTATAAGCTATAGATATGTTCTGACAGCGGGGCCGCGACGTAGGGTGGCGGGGCCGCGACGTAGGGTGGCGGGGCCGAGACGTAGGGTGGCGGGGCCGCAGGAGTAGGGCGGCGAGGCCGCGCGATGGGGCGGCGGGGCCGCGAGGTAGGGCGGCGCGACAGGCCGCTGCAAGGGCGGCGCGCCACTGCCGCTAAGGCGGCTCGGCGCGACCGTAGGTTCGGCGCGACGGGCCGCTAGGGGCGACACGACGGGTCGCTAAAAAAAAAGGGAGAGCGCGACTCGAGGCGCGCTTCGGTGGGCCCTAGGAACAGTCCCTAGGAGGGGACCTGCTCTGATTCCATGTGAAAATGAGAACGAGGATGGAATGACTATGAATGAAGTGATTACATATAGGAAACCCTAATTGGGTTGTACCCCCTATGGGATACCCCACTATAGCCTACACAAATAAGTAAGCTATAATGTTCTGACACGATGAGTCTTAGATAGACAAACGTTTAGTAATCTCGTACCTAACTGTGAAAAAGGATGACTTATTAGCTAGACTATGTTGTTTAAGCTTAAGGCCCTTTGTAAAGGCTTCGTATCTTGTATTTTTTGGTTTCGTTTCTTCGTGCATAATCTGCCATCCGTCTCTATCCATCGTCCTTACTTTTCCTTTTCGTCGGTTGCGTTTTTACCACCTCGTATTTTCATGAAATCATTCTTTTTTTTTTTCTCACACTCAGTTTAGAGCAGTCTTATTCCGAAACTGACGTTGTGTCGTTTCATAAGGCATATTTTTTATGTCGGTGCGTTGATTATCTTTAATGATCTTAATGCTTTCCTTTTTTTTTTTTTTTTTTTTTCCTCTGCTCTTAGTCTTTTTTTTTTTGATTTTTTTTTTACCTCTCTTCCCTCCCTTCCTTCATCTCTTTTCTCTCCTTTTTACCGTTCTCTCTCGATTCTCCCTCCCTTCTTCTTTCTCTTCTTCATTTCCCCTTCTTTATCCTCTCACTACCGTCGTTTTGCTTGTGCAAGTCACGCTGGTGTGTTTTTGCTGGTACCAGGCGTGCACCACACTCAGCGTCATACGCATTATCCGCGGCGGCAGCAGCAAAGAAGGGCACGAGCATGTCGGCAGAACTTGGTGAGTTTAAATTGTGAAAGAGAATAAGAGGGTAGTCATGTGCGAAAATACTATGTGATAAAGAATACGTGAGAGGCTCATATTGAGAGAGAGAGTGTGTGTGCATATGAGGAAGAGATCGCGAGGAGAAGAGAGCATGAGGAGAGTTGAGAAGAATGTGAAGGAGAGTATGAGTGCAAAATTAGTAGATGAAGTCGACATGAAATTGACATTCTAACCTCCTCTCCTTTCCTTACCGACTTTGTTTGAATGGGAGAGCAAGGAAGAGATAGAGTGATTCATTTTGTTTCATATTACATCCTTTCCCCTTGTCAGAATATTGTAGCTTATACATTTTGTGTAGGCTATAGTGGGGCATCCCATAGGGGGTACAACCCAATTAGGGTTAGTACTTGTACTCACTTCTTTCATAGTGCATCCATTCTCGTGCATACTTTCTCATGGTATCGAGCAGGTTCCCTTGTGGGAACTGTTCCTAGGGCCCACCGATCACCTTTTTTTTCCTGCCCGGGGCGCAGCCTGCCCCTGCCCAAAGCGCGCCTAGGGTCGCGCCCTTCCTAGCGACCCCTTCCTGGCGCCACCAGACGACCCCGCGCGCCGCCTTTGCGGCTCCTGGTGCCACCCGTCGACCCCGCGCGCCACCCTAGCGGCCCCTTCCTGGCGCCACCCGTCGACCCCGCGCGCCGCCTTTGCGGCTCCTGGTGCCGCCCGTCGACCCCGCGCGCCACCCTAGTGGCGCCTTACGCCACCCGTCGACCCCGCGCACCACCCTTGCGGCCTCGCCGCCCTTACCTGCAGCCCCGCCGCCCTCACCTGCGGTCCCCGCCGCCCTTGCCTGCGGTCCCCGCCGCCCACAACTGCGGCCTCGCCGCACTTACCTGCGGTCTTGCCGCCCACACACGCACACGCACACACGCGCACACGCACACACGCGCACACGCACACTCACACACACACGCACGTGCGCGCACAGACACACACACACACACACACACAACAGTAACAATATGTTCTGGTTTGCCAATTCCTCATGCTCGGTTAGGATAATGCACGAATGCACAGCTGAGTGGATTGGGTGGAGAGGAGGACGAAAGAATGGGTGGATTGGGTGGGTGGGGGCAGGCAAGCACTGACAGCTCCTTAAGCACAAGAGGCACCTTGATGTTGGCAGTGAAGGCGTCCATCTTGCCTTCCAGCCGGTTGGACTGCAGGTCACTGCCGTGCCAGCGGGGCAAGTGGTGCAAGGGGGAATGGTGTAGGGGTGAGGGATGCAGGAAGGAGAACTCAATCCACATGAGCCAATGAACAGGCGTTGTGGGGCAATGCCCGGATGATTTAGTAAATTTCGTGAATCGTGGATGACGGATAACAAGTGCCTGTGTTTTACTGTGCCTGAACCCTGAGTCAGGAATATGCTTGGCGGGAGAGGAGACTCGTTGAATGCGCAAGGCTACTCACAGCACGGTGAGAGTGGTGAGCTTGGAGATTTCAGAGTGGATGCTCCCTGTGAGACCTAGCCCCTTGAGAGACCTGCGTGGGGTGATTGCGGTGCACACGAAGTGAGGAGGCCAAGAAACGTGAAACAAGAAAAGGTAACAGTGGGTAATGTACCAATTCCAGAATGTGCCTGGCAACTAATGGCTAAAAAATTTACCGCTGGGAGACAAGCAAGAGGAAAGAGGCAGCAGGAGAGGATGCATGGTGCTTCCAATGCAGCAGCTTGTTGCAAGTCTTGGTACGATCATACACTCGGAGGTAGACAGCGCCCACACACAACAATCTTCACTCCACTGTAGACATGAGACTTACACTCAGAGCAATTTCCTGGAATCGTCACAGGCGACGCCATTCCACGTGCCGGGAGCCGGGGAGGGCGAGCCCACGAGGGTGCAGAGGGCATCGACCCGCCAGTCTGGAAACGACACTCCCTGCGCCACCTTCACATTCATTAGCGCAGCGGCTTGAGTCGCATCCATGGGCACAGTTGCAGCAGAGGTGCAAACCAGAGGGAGAACAGGCGATGAGGCACTGTTGGGCGTGCCTGGTGGGAGCAGGAGGGCAGGAGGAGGAATAACAATGCTGATTCCACCACCAATGATGTTGTTGCAGAGCTTGCCCTGAGCATTGGTGGTGTTGCAGATGGCACAGGCTGCTGCTGTGCGCGGGATCTCAACGGGCCTTGTGGGGTGCTTGCAGTTGGCGGTGGAAGCAAAGCAGTTGATGCAGGCGGAGCAGAAGGCGAGGCCGAGGGCGGGGAAGGAGCCGGCAAGGAAGTTGAACTGCACGTCCAGAGCCTTGAGAGGCACCGCTATGCTGGTCGGCAGCGAGCCCGTCAGGTAGTTGAAGCCCAGCACGCTGGTGGGGGGTAGTGTGGGGAGGGTGTGGGTGAGAAAGCAAGGAAATAAGAATGGGATCGACAAGGTAGCTGAAGGGTGATGGGGTGGCGACGGCCGGAGGGTGTGTGTGGGTGAGTGAAAAGCAAGGAGATGAGGACTTCTGACTGTCTTCAAATTGAGAGGTGGATGTGAGATTGATGCAAGGAAATGGGATGGCATGCGCCGAGTGGAGAATGAGATAAAGGAGGTGAAGGGAGGGTAAAGGAAGACTTCTATAGCTGAGTGGTAGGTAAAGTGGCAGCAAAGTAAGTATGAAAACTCACAGGTTGGAGAGATTGGGAAGAGCGAGGAGGTACGCAGGGACTGTGTGGGAGAACCAGTTGAACGAGAGGTTGCTGCAAGCCAAAAGGAGGGATAAGAGGGTGATTGTTTGGGCTAAAATAGCATGTGGATTGGATAGAGAATGAATGAGGGTATATTCAACATCAAGGCGGATAGATGCCAGTAGGACTAAAGACGTGCAAGGCTGCATGTGAAATTCTGCTGCCATGAATGGCAGCATGCTGAACAACAAGTGCAAGGGACAAACGAAACGACCTCCGTATCTGGGAGATCTGCAGAGATCACAGGTGTTTGCAGCACAGGTCGTGAGATCACAGGTGCTTAGACCACATGTCCTAAGAGGAATGCGCAAGTTCGGTGGAGAGGGCATGGGCAATAGTGAAAGAAGACAAACAGACAACAGACTTGGTAGCACAGATGCTGGTGTTGAGAGTACAGGTGGTGTGGTGAGAGCACATGTGCTTGAAACACGTGGTAAAGAGCACAGATGGTGAAACAACGCACATGGACTGGAGGGCAGTGAGAAGGTGAAGGTGTGTGGTGATCTCATCCAGCCGACCCTGAAATAAATTGCCGCTCAGATCGCTGGTAGCGAGAGGAGAGGCGTGTGGAGAAAGGGAACGGAGGTTGGTGTGTGGAGACAGGGAGAGGGGGTGTTGAAAAGATAGAAGGGGGTGATATCATAAAAGGGAGAGGGTTTAAAACAAGGAGACAGAAGCTTGGAAAAGCAGGGATGTGTAAAACTGGGAGAGGCGAGACAGAAGGATGCGGATCGAGGTAACATGATTTGAGTGCAAGGTTCAATTTGAGACACTTCATTGCAAGGCACGCTCACAGGTAAGTGAGAGCTGTGAGATCGGAGATTGCACGAGGAATTGTGCCTGCAAGGTTGAGACGCTTTAGTTGCCTGCAAGGAACAGAGTGGGTGTGAAAGGCGGAATGGAGGGGGCATGGCAACTGGTTGACTCAGGTGACGAGTAAAATTGGCAGCAGAAGTGGAACGGAATGATCAGCAATGGAGGGCAAAGTAGCAGCAACAGCAGCAGCAGTAGTGATAAAGATGATCACAACCAGTGGTGAGGACTCACACGGTGCAGACTTTGCCGAAAGGGTCACAGGACAGGGCAGTGAGGGTGCCTGCAATGTCCGGCCCGACAGAAGCCGTGGTGCACGACTTGCCAACCCCCCACGTTGTGAAGGTCACCCCCAGCGCGCCCTTCACTGCCAGCAGCGCTTGCGCTGTGAGAGTTGGTGTGAGAGGCGTGAAGGGAGAGGAGGGGTGATTGAGGGAGGGAAGGGCGGCAAAGGTGGGAAAGAGAAGAAGGATGACTGACTGATATTGAGGGAGAGGGGATGGGGATGGAGGGAGTTGGCAGGTTGGAACGATGGTGGTGGAAAGAGTCAGGAAAGGCAAATCACAATGAAGTTTGGGAAACATGTTTCTATTACTAATTTTGCCCATGTGTTTGAGACTTGTCAGCATGCTTGACATCTCTTTGAGCTCAAATGTGTCTCTCGTACTCACCATCAGTAGGATGGATTGTGACCACTGGTGCTTCTGAAGTGGGAAGTGGCAGGGAGAAAGGGAAGAAAGACGACAAGTATAAAGACGAGAGTAGAGATGGATAGACAGAGGCTATGGGTAGTCAAGATGGATAGACGGATACAGCCATGACCGTGATAATCCAATACACCAGATTCTTTGATGCACGCACTGCCACATTATGCCATGAAGCACTGACGGAACATGCCATGACTCACCAATACAGTACATGTCAGGAGGGTCCATGCCATCCTCATGCACGGTGCTGTTATCCACATCTAGCAAGCATGACCCTCCGAAGCACAGCAAGCCTGTCCCGTCCTGCGACTCGCAGAAGGAACACGTGTCGGCATCCCTCTGAGACATAGTGCTCTCCTCGCTGCACTTGCTCACATCCGCCAGGCAGTTGCTGCTCGCGTCACAGCTCGTCAGCGAAGCTGCGGGGAAGTTTCCCGCGAGGAAGTTGTCTTGGATGTCAAGGGAGAGGAGAGAGGTGGGCAGGGCTGGCACCGTCCCGGTCAGTGCGATTGTGTGCAGGTCCCTGCATGTAGGTGGTTTGGGTTCAGGTGGTTCAGGTAAGTCTACTGATATACTGGGATGGATGGCTCACAAAGATAGAGAAGGTTCCAGATTCATAGGTCAGTGCTGTAGTGTGGTGACGTACTATGTGGAAAAGCTTGGGACCCAGAGAATGGTGTTCTATCACATGGCCCCAGGCACATACGGTGTGAGTGCAGTTAGTTCCAAAACAAAAGCACATCGTACAGTACTTGTGGCACTTTAGGTCATACAACATGAGGAATGGGCGCCGAATGCATTGTGTGGGTGGGAAAGGTGGAGTTACTCACAGGTAGGTGAGGGTGGGCAGGGAGACGAAGGCAGTTGGAATGGAGCCCGCGAACCAGTTGTTGTTGAGATAATTGCAAGGAGGGGAAGAGGAATGAAGGAAAGGAGGGGAAAGAGGCAAGGGAGAGGAAAGATGCGAGGGAGAAAAACGGGAAGAGTGAGCAGAAAGGGAAAAGGAAACAGAATAAGGCAAGGGAGTTGAATGAGGAAGGTAGAGGAAGGAGATAAGGGAGTGGAAGCGGGCAATGGAGGGAAGGGAGGTATGCAAGACGAAGAAGGAAAGGTACTTGCACTGTGTGAGGGGCCTGGAAGAAAGGGGAGGGCGAGCGCAGGCAATCATGACCACTGAAACAAGCTGAAAATGTTGTGAGATATCAAATGAAGGTTGGCGCAGAGACGGGTTGACTGGAACATTGGACTGTTGAACATATCAACTTTGACGTTTCACAATGATGGTGGAGACAGGAGCGGTCATGAGCAAAGCAAGTGCAACATGGGATGGGGGTGTGGCACTCTCACAGCATGGGCGGAGAAGCCAGAAGTGAATGAGCCTGATGGCCTGATCAGGCCAGCAGGCTCCTTGTCCAGCTAATCCCCTTTTTCTCCTCCTTCAGTCACAGCTGCTTGAGGGCCTGGAGTTTGGAGAAGCCAGAAGTAAATGAGGCGAGGTTCTGGCGAAAGAGGTTGCTTGACAGGTCCCTGAGGCATTGGGGGAAGGAGGGCGAGGGGGGAAGGTTGGATGGAAGCAGCGTGCCGAGGTTGCTGGGATGCGCATTTGAATTTGTGGATGGAATCAGAAGTGGATTCCTGTGTTCAGATGAGATAAAGAGCAAGATGAATGAATGCTCCAGGTGGACGGGATGGGATGCTACAACGCGACGGGAGGGGAGGATTGCGGAAGCAGCCAAAGTTCTGTGGCCTAGCAAAGGAGGCCGAAAAGGAGGATGAGGGTTATATAGAGGTCAAGGGAGAGAATGAGAGAGTGAGAGGGAAGAAGAAGGAGCAAGACAAGGGGAGGGAGGAGAGGAAGAGAAGAAGTTTTGGGGAGTCAGATGGAAAAGATGAGAGGGTAACTGACAAGGATGTGAGGGCAGAATCTAGAGAAATAATGACCACATACGTTGCATTGGGTAGCAGAGAGTGTATCATCCGACCAGAACACAAGACTACCTTGGCGATTAAACATGGCTCTGCCTTACAAGCAGCACTTTCCATTCGAGCCTTACAGGTAAGTGAGTGCGGTGAGCTTGGAGATGTCTGCATTAATAGATCCCTTCAAACTCTGATCTGCCAACAAGCTGAGGAGAAGGGTGTGAGGAAGGTGAGAGAGGCAGGCACACAGGTTAGCATCAGGGGTGGGGGAAATTGTGAATGATCCAAAAAAAAAAACAAAAACAAAAACAAAAACAAAACAAAAAACAAGTTCTCATCATGGTAATAGCCCACTCACATGAACGCATGGTTGCAGGAAATAATGCATCTGAAAGCATTCAAAGTTGGGCGCTAGACGCCAAGCTATCGCATGGATGGTTGAAGCATGGGTGCTTTGCTTACATGTAGATCACATCCCCGGTATCGCCACAGAGCACGCCGGACCACGTGGTCTCTGTGGCAGCCTGCTTGCCAACCATTTGGCATGGCACAGTTGCTGCCCACGTGGTGAACGTCATGCCCAGCGATGTCTTGAGCGCCAGCAGTGCTGGAGATGGGGGAGGGCGGGGAGGGGAGAGGGGTAAGGGTGGGGGTGGGAGAAAATAGAGACAGAGTGAAGAGTTGGAAAGGGGGTTGGAAGTACAAGGATTAGGAGAGATGTGGAGAGAAAGACATTGGAAGAATATTGAGAAGAGAAACCACCAAAACCCTACATGTCATGGATGAAAATTCAAGTCAAGGAGACGCCTCAACACACCTGCAACGCTGGTAGATGGCACGGCTGCTATAGCACCGCCTGCACAGTTGGTCACAGGGAGATCGGCCCGTACAGAGGGTGTTTGGGCGGATGATTGAATCACAATGAACATCATCGTCATCATCATCCTCATCACCACCACCACCACCACCACCACCACCACCACCACCACCACCATCATCATCATCATTATCATCATCATCATCATCATCATCATCATCATCATCATCATCATCATCATCATCATCATCATCATCATCATCATCATCATCATCATCATCATCATCATCATCATCATCATCATCATCATCATCATCATCATCATCATCATCATCATCATCACCATCATTGGCAGCCGCAGCAGCAGCAGAAGAGGAAAACAAGAAGGGTGCACGAGTATGGAAAACAACTTGACAGACACCCCACTCAGAAGGGACCACGCAGATTCACTTATGTGAGAACATCCAGTCCCAGACACACCCAAGCCTGCTGCACCAACGCTGAGGTGATGTGGCTAAGGAGAGTGTGGAACCCACACAGATGGTTAAGGCACGTTACCTGAGCAGACCATGGGTGGGGCAGGCTTGAGGTATGCTAATTTGCCGGCTGCAATGTTAGCAGCAGCGGCGACCACACACTCCCCGCCGGTGCCCCAGCAAAAGGGAGCGACGACATTGGTAGTGCCACAGATGGCGCACTCAGCAGCAGGTCGCTGGGTGATCTTGTCAGAGGCGCACTTGGAGGGATTGGAGGCGCAGTTCATAGAGCCGCCGCAGTTGGTGAGTGAATGGGTGGGGAAGCTCGTAATGTAGTTGTATGCGATGAAGAGCTGCTTCAAGGCTGTAGTCATCGCTGGGATGCTACCAGTGAGGAAGTTAACACTGAGTCCTCTGAGGAGATGAGAGTGGGGTTACAGAAGGGTATGTGACGAGGGGTTGTGCATGAGTGGAGGGAGGGGAGACAAGAATCACAGTTGAGAGAAGGGAAAGGGTCTGAAAGCCTCACATTAGAAGGTATGGCACGCTATTACTTACAGATTTGTGAGTGCTGGGAGATTCACGAGATACGAAGGGATTGAGCCGTAAAGATAGTTGCTGTCTAGTGCTCTGCCAAGTGAAGGGCGGGATAGTTGGTGGCCATATTTATCATACTCACTCAGGCTGACGAAGCGCGGCTTGCTGCAATTGAACCGGCTCGTACCGACACTCAGATCCGAGAAGCAAACTCATAGTTCTGAGAGAGCAGCAAACTCTCATTGTTCCCTTGAGCAGCAAGGGTACTGCTTGTTGATATGTGAAATTACAATGCCGGGACATTAATAAGCTCTGATGGTGAAGCTGATTCGTCTCCATTTGCAGCCAGGTGCATGGATTACAAACCCTTCAACGGTCATGTTGTCCATATTACGATACTCAACTTACAAGCTCACATAAATATGACTGCACACATGCTCTTGACGGCTCACAGGCTCTTTAGAGATGTAGACCCCTTGAGGCTGGAGGCAAAGTCTTCCAAGCGGCCGGTAATTAGATTATTTTGAAGTATTCTGATTGAGGGCAGGCGGATGGGAACACAGAGAGTACATGCATGACGTGGCGTGGCAGCACATAGCTCGACGTGGCAAGGCATCAGAGGCATAGAACCAGCAGGCAGAGATGCTTCCATGTTTGAGGAGAGGGACTGACAGAGAAGTGAGTCCAGTGAGCTTGGACATGTCGGCAGGCAGGATGGTGGCCTTCAAATTTGAGAAGGATAAGCCCCTGCAGACAAGTGCATGTGGTACAACGGATGGGGAGCAGTGGGAGAAAATTAACCGAACGGATGGATCGATGGATAGATGAAGTGCAAAGAATGGGGCGTCCGATTGGTATGCCTCAAGTTGTTTGAAATACTTGCAACTTATGATTTTCTGGAACACTCACACATGCATGTGTTCTTGGAGCACTTACACACTTGAAGGTGATCCGTCATTGGAGCAAACAACACGATACCAGGTGGCAACTCCGTTTGGGGTACTGCCGGAGCCCGCCGCACAGAGAGAGGAGGCATCCCAGTCTGTGACCATCCATCCAAAAAAGGACTTGATGGAAAGCATCGCGGACACTGCACGGAGAGATTCGGGGGTAAAGAGAAAGGTGGAAGAGGACGGATTAAGCATGATTTGGGGAGGGGTTGAGAGACGGAATGTGGAGGAAGACATATGCGCGGGCGTAGGGGTCAGATTGATTGGTAAGTGCAGGGATTATGTGGAGTGCGGGAAGAGAGTGGGAGGGGCATTGGTGATGGCGTTAGGAGAGAAGGCCCACCTGAGGCAGCGTTCATGAGGACTAGAGGAGGATACTCTGTACCAGTACACACAGAGAACAGCAAGGGGCACGAACCAACGGAACAGTTGGACAGAATTCATGTGTAAAATAGCTGCAAAACATTCAGGTGGAGAATACTTAGGAACTTTGACGTAAAAAAGGGCATGTGGATGGTGGCTTTGAGAAAGAAACAGGCAGAGCGATGCATTCCTATTTCAATGGTGGTGGTACACCACATACCTGGGCACGTCATGTCAATTCCTTGACCCTGCTCTGCTATTTGTCCTTGGCTGCTTTAAAATCTCTCTTCTCTACCATCAGTAAGCGACACGCACCCTGGCAGGCCAAGGACACCGAGGGGACGTGCACCAGAGAGCTGTTGGCAGAACAAAGTGCAACAGAGAACAGCGCTCCCTGCCTGTCAACACGCACCTGGACAAACCAAGGGCACCGGCGGCAGTGAAGGGACATTGACGATTCCCTGGCTCACTGGCACATAGCTGTTGAAAAAACAAGTTTCACCACCGCACAGCGTTCCCTGCCCGTTGGTCGTGGCGCAGATGCCACAGGCATAGGCGGGGCGCTGCTGCACGCCGTAGGTGTGGCCGAAGGAGGAGTTGAGGAAGCAGTTCTGGTCGGCCGCACAAACCGCGAGGGAGAGCTTGGGGAACGAGCACGAGAGGAAGTTAAAGCCCATGTTTAGAGCGACCAGGGATGTGGAGGGGATGGGCATGGTGCCCGTGAGGTAGTTGGAGAAGAAGCCACTGGGGGGGGCGAATGAACACAGGCACAAGTTGAGAAGGAAAATGATGCGAGAACACAGGCACGAGGTGGGGAGGGAAAAGGCGAATGAATAGAGGCATGAGATTGAGATGGGTTGACGCTAGAATGACGGAAAGGTGCCCGTGAGGTAGTTCGAGTTGAGGCCTCTGGGGGCGGAGAAATATAGGGGGGAATGAAGAGGCGAACTCAGGAAACTGAAGAAGAAGCAGCACAGGTAGAGGCATGAGAGTGAGTCGAAAGTGAGATGTGAGAGGAGAGGGTGAGACCACGAAGGCCTGCAATGAAGCTCCTGTATGCATCTGCGGATCCCAGAAGCTGTGTGCTTGGCTTACAGGGTGGTAATCTGTGGCATGGGAGGCAATGAAGGAGGGAATCGTTCCATATAACCAGTTGTTGTTGAAGAAGCTGGGGGGTAGAAGCAGGAATGCACCGCAAGAGAAGAGAATGAGAGGTCAACATACAATGCATTTTACCGAGGAAAGTTACGGAGTGATATTATATTTATTTATCGGCTTGACTGTGTAATGTAAACACCATACACTATACATCAGCAATTTTGGGAACGATTTTCCAGCTCTTGCAGAGGAGAGGGAACTCACAGCGCCTTGAGAGTGGTCACGTCTTTGATTGGTGTGGCAAACTCGTTGAGACTACCCTAAAAAAGGTTGTAGCCAAAATCCCTAAAGCAGGTGGGGAAGAGGCAAGGATGCGAAGCGGATATCTGGAAGGGAAGAACAGTATGTGTTGTAGGCAGGTCGCATGATGGGTTGGGGAGAAGGACAGTATGAACTGGGGGGCCAACGACGGCCGTTCACCTCACCATTACCATATGAGGGGAGAAATTTTTGGTCCGTCCGTGTCCCTTCCCATCTCCCTCACTTCGTGTCCAACCGACTGGAGCTCATGGGCCAGCCGCCAGCAGCAGCAGGGTGGTGTTCTCATGCGGAACCAGAAACTACCTCTACTTGGTGTGTGGCACACAGGCACTCGATTCGACGTCTAGGCATTCCCTTTGCACAGTCAGCCTGTCTGTGTGAATGCTTGTCACAGGTTCTTCTGTGTGCGCCCCCTGATTCACCCTTACAGGTAAGTGAGCGCGGTGAGCTTGGAGATATCTGCATGAATAGACCCCTGTAAACTCTGACGCGCCACCGAGCTGTGGGGGGGTGATGGGAAGAGGTAGGGGAATGGGTGTGGAAGGAGTTGATAGAGGCCGGCTGGCTGGTTACCTGTCTGACTCCCTTCTTCCCTCCTACAAAGTTTTAGCATGCATGCATGGGTGCTCACATTGAAACTACATCCCCGGTGTCGCCACAGAGCACGCCGGACCACGTGGCCTGTGTGGCAGCCTGCTTGCCAACCACTTGGCACGGCACACTTGCTGCCCACGTGGTGAACGTCACGCCCAGCGATTCCTTGAGTGCCAGCAGTGCTGGGGATGGGGAGGGCGGGGCGGGGAGTGGTAAGGTTGGGAGTGGGAAGAAGTAGAGTAGGGACACGGTGGAGAGCTGGAGGGAGGAATATCGAAAAAAAAAACAAAAAACAAAAAACAAAAAAAGAACCAAAAAACTACGCATGACGAATGGATGACAATGCAAGGCAAGGAAGGAGCAGCATTTACACACCTGTAGCGCTGGTAGATGGCACGGTAGTTAGATTACCGCCTGCACAGTAGGCCACAGGGAGGTTTTAGCCATACAGAGGGTAGGTGGGTGAGGGAATCATCATCATCATCGTCAATATCATCATCGTCATCGTCATCCTCGTCATCGTCATCGTCATCGTCATCATCATCATCGTCATCACCATCGTCATCGTCATCATCGTCATCATCATCATCGTCGTCGTCGTCGTCGTCCTCATCATCATCATCATCATCATCATCATCATCATCATCATCATCATCATCATCATCATCATCATCATCATCATCACCACCACCATCATTGGCAGCCGCAGCAGCAGCAGAAGAGGAAAACAAGAAGGGTGCACGAGTATGGAAAACAACTTGACAAACACACCACTCAGAAGGGACCACGCACATTCACTTATGTGAGAACATCCAGTCCCAGACACACCCAAGCCTGCTGCACCAACGCTGAGGTGATGTGGCTAAGGAGAGTGTGGAACCCACACAGATGGTTAAGGCACGTTACCTGAGCAGACCATGGGTGGGGCAGGCTTGAGGTATGCTAATTTGCCGGCTGCAATGTTAGCAGAAGCGGTGACCACACACTCCCCCCCGGCGCCCCAGCAAAAGGGAGCGACGGCATTGGTAGTGCCACAGATGGCGCAATCCAGGAGCAGGTCGCTGGGTGATCTTGTCAGAGGCGCACTTGGAGGGATTGGAGGCGCAGTTCATAGAGCCGCCGCAGTTGGTGAGTGAATGGGTGGGGAAGCTCGTAATGTAGTTGTATGCGATGAAGAGCTGCTTCAAGGCTGTAGTCATCGCTAGGATGCTACCAGTGAGGAAGTTAACACTGAGTCCTCAGAGGAGATGAGAGTGGGGTTACAGAAGGGTATGTGACGAGGGGTTGTGTATGAGTGGAGGGAGGGGAGACAAGAATCACAGTTGAGAGAAGGGAAAGGGTCTGAAAGCCTCACATTAGAAGGTATGGCACGCTATTACTTACAGATTTGTGAGTGCTGGGAGATTCACGAGATACGAAGGGATTGAGCCGTAAAGATAGTTGCTGTCTAGTGCTCTGCCAAGTGAAGGGCGGGATAGTTGGTGGCCATATTTATCATACTCACTCAGGCTAACGAAGCGCGGCTTGCTGCAATTGAACCGGCTCGTACCGACACTCAGATCCGAGAAGCAAACTCATAGTTCTGAGAGAGCAGCAAACTCTCATTGTTCCCTTGAGCAGCAAGGGTACTGCTTGTTGATATGTGAAATTACAATGCCGGGACATTAATAAGCTCTGATGGTGAAGCTGATTCGTCTCCATTTGCAGCCAGGTGCATGGATTACAAACCCTTCAACGGTCATGTTGTCCATATTACGATACTCAACTTACAAGCTCACATAAATATGACTGCACACATGCTCTTGACGGCTCACAGGCTCTTTAGAGATGTAGACCCCTTGAGGCTGGAGGCAAAGTCTTCCAAGCGGCCGGTAATTAGATTATTTTGAAGTATTCTGATTGAGGGCAGGCGGATGGGAACACAGAGAGTACATGCATGACGTGGCGTGGCAGCACATAGCTCGACGTGGCAAGGCATCAGAGGCATAGAACCAGCAGGCAGAGATGCTTCCATGTTTGAGGAGAGGGACTGACAGAGAAGTGAGTCCAGTGAGCTTGGACATGTCGGCAGGCAGGATGGTGGCCTTCAAATTTGAGAAGGATAAGCCCCTGCAGACAAGTGCATGTGGTACAACGGATGGGGAGCAGTGGGAGAAAATTAACCGAACGGATGGATCGATGGATAGATGAAGTGCAAAGAATGGGGCGTCCGATTGGTATGCCTCAAGTTGTTTGAAATACTTGCAACTTATGATTTTCTGGAACACTCACACAGGCATGTGTTCTTGGAGCACTTACACACTTGAAGGTGATCCGTCATTGGAGCAAACAACACGATACCAGGTGGCAACTCCGTTTGGGGTACTGCCGGAGCCCGCAGCACAGAGAGAGGAGGCATCCCAGTCTGTGACCATCCATCCAAAAAAGGACTTGATGGAAAGCATCGCGGACACTGCACGGAGAGATTCGGGGGTAAAGAGAAAGGTGGAAGAGGACGGATTAAGCATGATTTGGGGAGGGGTTGAGAGACGGAATGTGGAGGAAGACATATGCGCGGGCGTAGGGGTCAGATTGATTGGTAAGTGCAGGGATTATGTGGAGTGCGGGAAGAGAGTGGGAGGGGCATTGGTGATGGCGTTAGGAGAGAAGGCCCACCTGAGGCAGCGTTCATGAGGACTAGAGGAGGATACTCTGTACCAGTACACACAGAGAACAGCAAGGGGCACGAACCAACGGAACAGTTGGACAGAATTCATGTGTAAAATAGCTGCAAAACATTCAGGTGGAGAATACTTAGGAACTTTGACGTAAAAAAGGGCATGTGGATGGTGGCTTTGAGAAAGAAACAGGCAGAGCGATGCATTCCTATTTCAATGGTGGTGGTACACCACATACCTGGGCACGTCATGTCAATTCCTTGACCCTGCTCTGCTATTTGTCCTTGGCTGCTTTAAAATCTCTCTTCTCTACCATCAGTAAGCGACACGCACCCTGGCAGGCCAAGGACACCGAGGGGACGTGCACCAGAGAGCTGTTGGCGGAACAAAGTGCAACAGAGAACAGCGCTCCCTGCCTGTCAACACGCACCTGGACAAACCAAGGGCACCGGCGGCAGTGAAGGGACATTGACGATTCCCTGGCTCACTGGCACATAGCTGTTGAAAAAACAAGTTTCACCACCGCACAGCGTTCCCTGCCCATTGGTCGTGGCGCAGATGCCACAGGCAGAGGCGGGGCGCTGCTGCACGCCGTAGGTGTGGCCGAAGGAGGAGTTGAGGAAGCAGTTCTGGTCGGCCGCACAAACCGCGAGGGAGAGCTTGGGGAACGAGCACGAGAGGAAGTTAAAGCCCATGTTTAGAGCGACCAGGGATGTGGAGGGGATGGGCATGGTGCCCGTGAGGTAGTTGGAGAAGAAGCCACTGGGGGGGGCGAATGAACACAGGCACAAGTTGAGAAGGAAAATGATGCGAGAACACAGGCACGAGGTGGGGAGGGAAAAGGCGAATGAATAGAGGCACGAGATTGAGATGGGTTGACGCTAGAATGACGGAAAGGTGCCCGTGAGGTAGTTCGAGTTGAGGCCTCTGGGGGCGGAGAAATATAGGGGGGAATGAAGAGGCGAACTCAGGAAACTGAAGAAGAAGCAGCACAGGTAGAGGCATGAGAGTGAGTCGAAAGTGAGATGTGAGAGGAGAGGGTGAGACCACGAAGGCCTGCAATGAAGCTCCTGTATGCATCTGCGGATCCCAGAAGCTGTGTGCTTGGCTTACAGGGTGGTAATCTGTGGCATGGGAGGCGATGAAGGAGGGAATCGTTCCATATAACCAGTTGTTGTTGAAGAAGCTGGGGGGTAGAAGCAGGAATGCACCGCAAGAGAAGAGAATGAGAGGTCAACATACAATGCATTTTACCGAGGAAAGTTACGGAGTGATATTATATTTATTTATCGGCTTGACTGTGTAATGTAAACACCATACACTATACATCAGCAATTTTGGGAACGATTTTCCAGCTCTTGCAGAGGAGAGGGAACTCACAGCGCCTTGAGAGTGGTCACGTCTTTGATTGGTGTGGCAAACTCGTTGAGACTACCCTAAAAAAGGTTGTAGCCAAAATCCCTAAAGCAGGTGGGGAAGAGGCAAGGATGCGAAGCGGATATCTGGAAGGGAAGAACAGTATGTGTTGTAGGCAGGTCGCATGATGGGTTGGGGAGAAGGACAGTATGAACTGGGGGGCCAACGACGGCCGTTCACCTCACCATTACCATATGAGGGGAGAAATTTTTGGTCCGTCCGTGTCCCTTCCCATCTCCCTCACTTCGTGTCCAACCGACTGGAGCTCATGGGCCAGCCGCCAGCAGCAGCAGGGTGGTGTTCACATGCGGAACCAGAAACTACCTCTACTTGGTGTGTGGCACACAGGCACTCGATTCGACGTCTAGGCATTCCCTTTGCACAGTCAGCCTGTCTGTGTGAATGCTTGTCACAGGTTCTTCTGTGTGCGCCCCCTGATTCACCCTTACAGGTAAGTGAGCGCGGTGAGCTTGGAGATATCTGCATGAATAGACCCCTGTAAACTCTGACGCGCCACCGAGCTGTGGGGGGGTGATGGGAAGAGGTAGGGGAATGGGTGTGGAAGGAGTTGATAGAGGCCGGCTGGCTGGTTACCTGTCTGACTCCCTTCTTCCCTCCTACAAAGTTTTAGCATGCATGCATGGGTGCTCACATTGAAACTACATCCCCGGTGTCGCCACAGAGCACGCCGGACCACGTGGCCTGTGTGGCAGCCTGCTTGCCAACCACTTGGCACGGCACACTTGCTGCCCACGTGGTGAACGTCACGCCCAGCGATTCCTTGAGTGCCAGCAGTGCTGGGGATGGGGAGGGCGGGGCGGGGAGTGGTAAGGGTGGGAGTGGGAAGAAGTAGAGTAGGGACACGGTGGAGAGCTGGAGGGAGGAATATCGAAAAAAAAAAACAAAAAACAAAAAACAAAAAAAAAAAAACCAAAAAACTACGCATGACGAATGGATGACAATGCAAGGCAAGGAAGGAGCAGCATTTACACACCTGTAGCGCTGGTAGATGGCACGGTAGTTAGATTACCGCCTGCACAGTAGGCCACAGGGAGGTTTTAGCCATACAGAGGGTAGATGGGTGAGGGAATCATCATCATCATCGTCAATATCATCATCGTCATCGTCATCCTCGTCATCGTCATCGTCATCGTCATCATCATCATCGTCATCACCATCGTCATCGTCATCATCGTCATCATCATCATCGTCGTCGTCGTCGTCCTCATCATCATCATCATCATCATCATCATCATCATCATCATCATCATCATCATCATCATCATCATCATCATCATCATCACCACCATCATTGGCAGCCGCAGCAGCAGCAGAAGAGGAAAACAAGAAGGGTGCACGAGTATGGAAAACAACTTGACAAACACACCACTCAGAAGGGACCACGCACATTCACTTATGTGAGAACATCCAGTCCCAGACACACCCAAGCCTGCTGCACCAACGCTGAGGTGATGTGGCTAAGGAGAGTGTGGAACCCACACAGATGGTTAAGGCACGTTACCTGAGCAGACCATGGGTGGGGCAGGCTTGAGGTATGCTAATTTGCCGGCTGCAATGTTAGCAGAAGCGGTGACCACACACTCCCCCCCGGCGCCCCAGCAAAAGGGAGCGACGGCATTGGTAGTGCCACAGATGGCGCAATCCAGGAGCAGGTCGCTGGGTGATCTTGTCAGAGGCGCACTTGGAGGGATTGGAGGCGCAGTTCATAGAGCCGCCGCAGTTGGTGAGTGAATGGGTGGGGAAGCTCGTAATGTAGTTGTATGCGATGAAGAGCTGCTTCAAGGCTGTAGTCATCGCTAGGATGCTACCAGTGAGGAAGTTAACACTGAGTCCTCAGAGGAGATGAGAGTGGGGTTACAGAAGGGTATGTGACGAGGGGTTGTGTATGAGTGGAGGGAGGGGAGACAAGAATCACAGTTGAGAGAAGGGAAAGGGTCTGAAAGCCTCACATTAGAAGGTATGGCACGCTATTACTTACAGATTTGTGAGTGCTGGGAGATTCACGAGATACGAAGGGATTGAGCCGTAAAGATAGTTGCTGTCTAGTGCTCTGCCAAGTGAAGGGCGGGATAGTTGGTGGCCATATTTATCATACTCACTCAGGCTGACGAAGCGCGGCTTGCTGCAATTGAACCGGCTCGTACCGACACTCAGATCCGAGAAGCAAACTCATAGTTCTGAGAGAGCAGCAAACTCTCATTGTTCCCTTGAGCAGCAAGGGTACTGCTTGTTGATATGTGAAATTACAATACCAGGACATTAATATGCTCTGATGGTGAAGCTGATTTGTCTCCATTTGCAGCCAGGTGCATGGATTACAAACCCTTCAACGGTCATGTTGTCCATATTAAGATACTCAAATTACAAGCTCACATAAATATGACTGCACACATGCTCTTGACGGCTCACAGGCTCTTTAGAGATGTAGACCCCTTGAGGCTGGAGGCAAAGTCTTCCAAGCGGCCGGTAATAAGATTATTTTGAAGTATTCTGATTGAGGGCAGGCGGATGGGAACACAGAGAGTACATGCATGACGTGGCGTGGCAGCACATAGCTCGACGTGGCAAGGCATCAGAGGCATAGAACCAGCAGGCAGAGATGCTTCCATGTTTGAGGAGAGGGACTGACAGAGAAGTGAGTCCAGTGAGCTTGGACATGTCGTCAGGCAGGATGGTGGCCTTCAAATTTGAGAAGGATAAGCCCCTGCAGACAAGTGCATGTGGTACAACGGATGGGGAGCAGTGGGAGAAAATTAACCGAACGGATGGATCGATGGATAGATGAAGTGCAAAGAATGGGGCGTCCGATTGGTATGCTTCAAGTTGTTTGAAATACTTGCAACTTATGATTTTCTGGAACACTCACACACGCGTGTGTTCTTGGAGCACTTACACACTTGAAGGTGATCCGTCATTGGAGCAAATAACACGATTCCAGGTGGCAACTCCGTTTGGGGTACTACCGGAGCCCGCAGCACAGAGAGAGGAGGCATCCCAGTATGTGACCGTCCATCCAAAAAAGGACTTGATGGAAAGCATCGCGGACACTGCACGGAGAGATTCGGGGGTAAAGAGAAAGGCGGAAGAGGACGGATTAAGCATGATTTGGGGAGGGGTTGAGAGACGGAATGTGGAGGAAGACATATGCGCGGGCGTAGGGGTCAGTTTGATTGGTAAGTGCAGGGATTATGTGGAGTGCGGGAAGAGAGTGGGAGGGGCATTGGTGATGGCGTTAGGAGAGAAGGCCCACCTGAGGCAGCGTTCATGAGGACTAGAGGAGGATACTCTGTACCAGTAGACACAGAGAATAGCAAGGGGCACGAACCAAGAGAACAGTTAGACAAAATTCAGGTGGAAAATAGCTGCATTCTAATCTCAATCGTGGTGGTCCACTGCGTGCTATGTGGATCTCCTCTCTTCTCTGCCATCAACAAGCGACATGAACCCTGGCAGGCCAAGGACACCGGCGGCAGCGAGGGGACGTTGACAGTTCCTTGGCTGACTGGCAGAGAGCTGTTGGCGGAAATAAGTGCACCATCGCACAGCGTTCTCTGCCCGTCATCACGCAACACGCACGTGGACAACTCAAGGCTACCTGAGGCAGCGAGGGGGTATTGAAGATTCCCTGGCTGACTGGCAAAGAGCTGTCGGTGGAGCAAAGTGCACCACCGCACAGCGTTCCCTGCCCGTCGGTCGTGCCGCAGATGGCGCAGGCAGTGGCGGGGCGCTGCAATGTGCCGTATGTGTGGCAGTAGGAGGAGTTGAGGAAGCAGTTCTGGTCGGCCGCACAGACTGCGAGGGAGAGCTTGGGGAAGGAGCCCAAGAGGTAGTTAAAGCCCACGTCCAGAGCGACCAGGGAGGTGGAGAGGAAGGGCATGGTACCCGTGAGGTAGTTGGAGAACAGGCCACTGGAAGGAGCGAATGAACACAGGCATGAGGTGGGGAGGGAAAAGGCAAATGAACAGAGGCACGAGATTGAGATGGCTAGAATGAGGGAAAGGTGAGATGTGAGCGAGACGAGAGCGAACAAGGAGCAAAGGAGTGAGCAAGGAGCAACGAGCCTCCTCATTTTTCTGCAAACCTTTGAGACTTCATGTGTGGCTTACAGTGTCGTGAGACTCGGCAGGGAGGCAATGAAGGAGGGGACTGATCCTGCAAACCAGTTGTGTTGGAAGAAGCTCGGAGTGGAAAGGAGACGCAATTTTAAGGAGGGGACATGAGAAAAAGTGCTGTTACGAAATAAAAGTAGGGCAGATGTTATTCCAGGGAACACGAACCAGAGGGCACTCCATCACAAACAAGTGACGAGATTCGGTGTTTTATGTGGAAGCAGATGTGGACAATAGAACGAGAATGAATGAACTATGAGTGAAGTGAGTACAAATAGCAAAACCCTAATTGGGTTGTACCCCCTATGGGATACCCCACTGTAGCCTACACAACAGCATAAGCTACACATATGTTCTGACACACCCCCATAGGCAAAGTGGGGGAGAACAAGGGGTCACAAGACCAGTCAAGCAAAGCAAAGCAAAGCTCAGGGTGGATCACAAAGTCACCACACAGTCCGAGCACAAGAGCAAGGCCACAAGGCCAGTTCACATGCAGGAGTACACACATATATATATAAAGCTAGACAAGCAAGAGCAGGTATATATATGTCACAGTACAAGTAAATTCAAGAAGAGAGCAAGTGAGGCAAGACAGGCACAAGACCCAGCTGGGTGCAGAAGCGCTGATGGTCACAAGGCGCATGTGCCTTGGTGAACACATCAGCAGTGTTGGCCTCAGAGGCCACGTACGCAAGCCGCAACAGTCCACGCTGCTGTAGCTCACGAGCAAGGAAGTAGCGAAGAGCAATGTGCTTCGTTCTGTGCTCCAGACGCTGCTCTCGACACAAGGCCAGCATGGCCTTGTTGTCTACGTACAGCACTGGAGGAGAACGAGGCGGCTCTCCAAGGTCACTCAGCAGGTAGGTGAGCCAGCGAAGCTCCTGTGCAGCCATGGCCCCTGCGTAGATCTCAGCCTCACAACTCGAGCTGAGAACCAAAGACGAGCGAGTAGCCCGCCACGAGACAGAGCCGGAGCCAAGGCTGAAGGTGTAACCCTGTGACGACCGCTGCGTAGCCTGGTCGTCAGCCCAAGAAGCGTCCGCGTGACCTGTAAGTACCACTGGACTCCGCCCTCCAAGCACTAGCCCCATGCCCGACGTACTGCACAGGTAGCGCAATACCCTCTTTGCTGCACCCATGTGCTCTGGTCGGTGTCTCCCAGGAGCAACATAGCGTGCAAGAATGCTAAGAGGGTATGCAAGGTCAGGTCGTGTGCAGGTCATCAGGTACATGAGGCAGCCAACAAGCTCTGGGTACGGGCCACTCGACTCTACGGACTCATCCGAAGGCAGAGCTGAGAGCGAGTGACGAGTAGACAGAGGAGTGGCCTGAGGCGGGGAGTACGTGAAGCCGAAGCGCTGAAGGACCTGCTGCACCATGTGTGACTGAGTCAAGGTAATGGTGCGGCGTGCTCTGTCCCGAGTGATCTGCAAGCCAAGGTAGCTGCGCAGTTCACCCAGGTCTGTGCACGTGTGTCTCTTCAGCAGCTCGGACTTCACGTAGGCGAGTCCAGCAGTGTCCGCTGTGGCAAAGACCAAGTCGTCGACGTACACGAGGATGTAGAACGGCGGCAGTGAAGTGTCGGTGCGCAGAAACAGCGACGGGTCAGCAGTAGAAGGAGCAAACCCAAGGGCCGCAAGCGTAGTCCTCAGTGTGTCGTGCCACTCACGTGGTGCCTGGCGGAGACCGTAGACTGGCCGTCGGAGGCTCCACTGGGTGCCAGGAGGGAAAGTCCCAGTGAAGCCAGGTGGACGGCGAAGCCAGATCTCCTCGTGCAGGCTCCCCTGCAAGAACGCAGTACTGAAGTCGAGAGAGTGAAGCTCGTAGTCGCGCTGAGCGGCCATGTGCAGCAGCACCCGAAGAGTGGTCATCTTCGGGGTGGGAGAGAAGGTCTGAAAGTAGTCAACTCCCTGCCGCTGACTGAAGCCACGAGCGACGTACCGCGCCTTGAAGACAGGTGGAGAGCCCGGCGGCCGCTTCACCCTGAAGATCCACATGCCACTGACGATGTTCGCCCCAGGAGGGGGAACCGCGTCAACGTAGGTGCCTGTGGACTTCCACGAAGCCATCTCTGCATCCATAGCTGCCTACCACTGAGAGGAGTAGGGACCCTCTACGGCCTCCGCGTAAGAGCGCGGAGTCAGGATGTCTAGTGCATCCGGGTCTCCCTCAGGAGCAAGCAGTACAGACGCGAGATGAGGTGAAGCAGCAGCCAGACACTGGAACTCCTCCTACTTGTCCTCTAGGACGTCCGTGCCAAGAGCACACTCACCCCCGACGGACGGAGGACAGACAGACGCAGACTCAGCAACAAGACTAGCAGCGTAGTCTAGACGACAGCGAGCAGCAAAGTCGACGAGCTCAGCGACAAGAGCAGACGCGGCAGCGGACTTAAAAGAGGGGTCAGTGACGACAGTAGCAAGCAGACGAGTGACAGTAGGACTGGCAGCACGAAGGGAGTCCGACTCTGGGTCGGTAAGCACAGGAAGGGAGGACTCAGGAGGAGAAGGCAAAAGGGCACGCAGAGGAGCAGTGGACGGACGCAGAGACATCCGGTGGGTGCCAGGGACAGGAGGAGGACGCGGACGCGAACCACGACCACTAGCGCGGGCAGCACGAACAGGCGACGCGGGACGAGACGCAGGCTCACGACGCTCAGCAAGACCTCCAGTAGGACCACTGTAAGGAGAGGGAGCAGGCAGTGGGGAGGTGGGCTCCAACAGGGACTGCGACTGGAAAGGCTGTGGACACTCTACCGGAGGAGAAAGACCAAGAACCTGCTGCAGAAGCGGAACGAAGTACGGCCGAGGCCGCGCGGCAGCTCCAGACTCAGCAGGGACAGCACCAGCACCCTCAGCGGCAGCACCAGCGCCACCAACACCTCCAGCGGCAGGACCTCCAGCAGCACCAGCAGCAGAACCACCGTCAGGACACACAGCAGCAGACTCAACACCAACGCCCTCAGGAGCCCCAGCTCCAGTAGGAGGGAGGGGCTCCCGCCGAGACGCAGCACCAGGAGAAACCCTAGGCTCAGCGGCTCCAGACGTAGCACCCCCAGGCTCAGCAGCTCCAGACTCAGCACCCCCAGGCTCAGCAGCTCCAGCTCCAGTAGGACCCGCAGGCCCAGCAGCTCCGGGACCGGCAGCACCAGCACCCTCAGCAGTCGAAGGAGCTCCAGCTCCAGCAGCACGCCTCCAGCGGCGAGCAAACCACTCGCGCAGCTCCTGTGGAGAGAGGGGCTCCCGCCGAGACGCAGCACCAGGAGAAACCCCAGGCTCGGCGGCTCCAGACGTAACACCCCTAGGCTCAGCAGCTCCAGACTCAGCACCCCCAGGCTCAGCAGCTCCAGCTCCAGTAGGACCCGCAGGCCCAGCAGCTCCGGGACCGGCAGCACCAGCACCCTCAGCAGTCGAAGGAGCTCCAGCTCCAGCAGCACGCCTCCAGCGGCGAGCAAACCACTCGCGCAGCTCCTGTGGAGAGAGCGGCTCCCGCCGAGACGGAGCAACCGGAGAGCCCCCAGGTCCAGCAGTCGCAGGCTCCGCACCTCCAGGCTCAGCACCCCCAGAATCAGCAGCTCCTGACGTAGCACCCCCCGGCTCAGCACCCCCAGCAGCAGCACCCCCAAGCTCAGCACCCCCCGGCCTCGCACCCCCAGGCTCAGCACCCCCAGCAGCAGCACCCCCAAGCTCAGCACCCGCAGGCGTAGCACCCCCAGACTCTGCACCCGCAGCAGGACCAGACTCAGCAGCAACCTCGACTGGCTCGACTGTGTCTACCTGGGACACACCTGAAGGGGCAGGAACCTGAGGGGGGAGGGGGTCTACCGGGGGGGGAACTGGCACCAGGAAGTCCGGTGGGGGGGGGAGGGAAGGAGTACGGTAGGGGAAGAGGCGGTAGAAGGGGACTGACTCGTCGAACGTGACGTCCTGGGAGGACAGAACACGACGAGAGGAGGGGTGGTAAAACTGCCACCTTGGAGCGTCAGGGGGGAAGCCAAGGAAGACACAGGGAGCAGCACGGGGGGACAGCTTGTCCGCAGACAAGTCGCGGACAAACGCCCGAGATCCCCAGACACGGAACGCAGACGCATCGCCGACCTTCCCCGTCCACAGTAACACTGGGGACATCGCGGGCCGAGAGACCCTGGGGTGAAGGTTGAGCTGATGCGCCGCGTACCGAACCGCAAACGGCCACAGAAAATGGGGGGCAGCCGCATGCATCATGGACGTACGAGCGACATCCATGACCATGCCAATGCGGCGCTCAGCAATCCCATTTTGCTGTGGAGAGTCCGGAAGCGTAAAGGTCGGGCGGATCCCCTGTGCACGACAGTAGTCTCGCAGAAGGCGAGAGGAGAACTCCCCACCTCGGTCAGAGTGCAGACGCAGAACAGGAAAGTCCGAGCCGAAGCTCCTCCTGAGCTGGAGACGAGCCTCGCGGATCCAGTCGATCAGCACCTCAGTGACAGCACCCTTGCTGCGCAAGGGGAAGACTGTGGTGTAACGCGAGTAGTCGTCAATCACCAACAGGAAGTAGCGCTCGTGACCCTGCCCACGGACGGGGGCAGGGCCCCACACGTCCATGTAAAGTGTCTGCAGAGGAGCCTCTGTCGGGGGAAACTGGGAGGAGTGAGGAGCAGCCCTGAGGCGCCCCTCGACACAGGGGACACAGGAAGGTCCTGGTCCCGAAGGAAGGGGAGGGAGAGACTGGGGAAGACCAGAGACAAGGACACGGGAAGCCATGCCCCGAAGACGGGGCAAGGAGGGGTGGCCAAGACGGTGGTGCCACAGGAGAGTCTCGTGAGACAGGAGGCGACACGAACAGGGGGCAGACTCAGGACCAGACCTGGACGCAGCAGCAAACACCTGACCTGACGCTGCTACCTGACCGGACGCAGGGACAGGAGGAGACTTAGTGGTCAGGGTGTAGAGGCTCGACCCCGGCCGACGCGAGAACGTGGCCAGGTGCCGGCCTATGCGTGCG